AGGTACTGCATATTCCAAACAGCAGTGGTAATCACGATTCGCCAGAGATCACCAGTGCTCTGTGTGCAGAAGAAGCAAATCCAGTGAGCCACTACTACTGCCCTGGCCAGCATTCAGTGGAGACTATAAATTCATGAATTTTGATTATTATCTTTCTTAATTTGTTTGTCTGACATTCAGTGTCTAGTGTTATGTTGATGCTGTTGAACTGTAATTCTTTGACATTATTATTGATTCGATGTTATTTAAACTACATTAAAGACGTTTAGATAAAGCAATAAGAAGACGTAATTTGTCTGAATCGTGTATTGTGTATTTGCGCAACACATTTCGAACAATCTGATCCATCACATACGGACTTGTCATAGCAATATATGTATGAAATTAATAAAGAGTTAAGAGGTGAGAAAATAGACAAGCTAGGTCAAGTTAACAGGACATATTCAAGGTCAAAATAACAATGAAAACCACTAAACCAAACCAGAGAGGTAAGAGTACATCTACCCTGGCTGGTGTCAAAACAAACTTTACCAAGCAAAGTTTAGTGTGATGACGAATTGTTGCTTTGAACGCATAAAGGTGGTTTGAACTTCCTAATTGCTAGGGCTTCCACAAACTTTAGGATACGCCCTCTCCCAAACACATTTTATGGATGGATAGGTTTAAAAGATCTGTTAACGTCAATTTTATGTCCTGTCTCTATAATATGTTTCGCAATAGAGGAGCTAGGTCTCCTGTTCTCATCATTAATGGGTTCTGAAGATTCTATTTGTTTCTGGAGCCATTTAGGAATATGCTCTGAAGCCAGCCCTTACTTGCTGGCTTGGATCGATGAGTCCTCCCTATGTATGTGTGTCTACACGTACATTCAAATTGGTAAATACAGTGGGATGTGATATCATTTTTCCCATGTTCAAAGGGGTTAGATGGATGGATATATTGGCTTCACATTCTCAATAATTATGATATTAATTGCATAAAAAGTCCTTTTAACAGCAGCGTTCAGTCTTTGTCTAGTTATCAAGCTGCTTTGATGCCCCATATAGAATAGCTTGGTTTACAAGTCTTTCTTAGGGGCGAGTTGTAGTGTGAGTCTTGTTGTTCCACTGACTACTCTGTATCTCCTGATGAACTTGTCTGAATAATTGTTATCAAGCAGAGTTTGTGTCAACTTTCTTTCTTCTTCATCAAGTGTGTCTTCAGTGCATATTCGTTGGATTCTACTGAAGGGGCACCTCGCTCACTAAGGCTCTTTTGTACCGAAAAGGGCAGAAACTGTGGTAATTAAGATACTGTCCTGTCCAGGTGTTTTGGGCGTATCCTAAGGTTTGTGGAAGTTCTAGCTGGCAATTAGAAAGTTTAAACCACATTTATGCGTTCAAAGCAACATTTCGTCATCACACTAAACCACCTTCCTTGGTAAATTTTGTTTTGATACCATAGCAGATGCACTATTGCCTCTGTTATTTGGTTTAGTGATCTTCATTGTTAGTTGGACCTTCAATGTGTCCTTTTAACTTGACCTAAGTGGTCTATTTTCTCATCTCTTAACTCTTTATTAATTGATACTTATATTCCTATGACAAGTACGTGGAGTGTGATCAGATTGTTCGAAAAGTGTTGCGCAAATACACATTACAAGATGCAGACAAATTACGTCTTCTGATTGCTTTATCCAAATTCATAAAGGGAACCAATTGTTTTAAACTAATGACGTTGTGAATAACACTAATTCATTCATTCACCATTATGGATGGATATATAACTGTAGAACCCGATGCTGAAAAACAGGTTATCGTAAATGTGAATATTCTTTTTTCATTAACCATTCTTTTGAAAAAAATAAATTTTAATGGGCAATTTTCAGTCAGTTGAAATCTTTCAATTATTAAGCAAAAATACCAAAAGCCACTAAATGTATCTTTTATGGGAAGTAATTTTTTGGCGAAATGGAATTGACCTAGAATCCAACCAACCCTTCCCACAAGAACTGTCACGGTTGAACCATTTACGATTAACAATTTCCCACTGTTAGCTAGCCAGGCACCTACACAGATTTTTTTGTTGTTATCTCTACCAATTCATTGACCGCAAACAGAAAAACCTGTGATCCAGTCCTCATATATAAGTTGAAATTGTTCAAATTCTGGTTTAATTCTGGTTTACTCTGACAGAAATTATCAGCGGCAGTTTGAATAGCGAAACGTTGGTAAAAAAAAAAACAATATCGTTTAGACTTTTTCATTTATTGGGAAATACAGAAGTGTTTTTTTTCTTCCTGATTCGTAAATGAACAGAATACTAATGATGATTGAGTTTGATTTTGAACTCCGCGCTAGAATTCGATTGTTTTGAATTTTATTTGTTTATCTTATTGGAATCATGCAATCAATAGGATATTGGTTGATTTTGTGTTCACGTTTAATTTATAAACAATAGTCTCAGTGATACGGTATTCTAATTAACTTGTGATATGTTGTGAGTAAGTAGGTTAGAAGTCTTCCTTGACACTTACTTTCGTATCGGTTGTAGCCAGCATAGTTTAGTCCAAATTATTTTATCAACCTCATCTAACAGATAGATGACAGTGCCGTGTGTCAGGTGATCCACAACGGAAAACTCACTAAGCGAGGCGTTCGAAGTGAATACAGAAGTGAGACAAGGCTGTCTGCCTACTATCACCACGAGTGATATTCTTAATTGTGGTGGACTGCATTATGCGTCAGACTGTGCGTGGAAAGCGAGAAGATAAGAGTACGCTGGACTGGCCAGTAAGAGGACTCTAGAAGGTCTGGATTTTGCACTTGGATGATTAATGTTTAATGTCATACAAACTTGCAGGCAAAAACGAACAAACTGGCTGAAGGGGCTGGCTGGCAGCGAAGACAGGACTCCAGGTGAACAAAGAGAAGACGGAGGTGATGAAGATAACCAAACTCTGTCAACGGGAGGAATTTAGGAAGCGTCCTTTCAACTACAGGCAGTTGGAACGGATGAAGATGTCGAAGCAAGCCAGGCAGAATCCGAAAGGCAAGATACACTTTCATCAACCTGAAACCAATTTGGAAATCTCCTGCTGTCACTCAGTCAGCTTAGATAACAAGATTCGGATTTTCCACACAAATATGGGTCATAAACTTGGAGGGCGCATTTCCAACAAGTTGTCAACAGCTGTCTTTGTTCAATATTGAACATCAAATATCCGGTCAGAAGGGAAAAGCTACAAGAAACTATGGGAATAAATTAAACAAGAACCTATCGTCCAACAAATATGTAGGAGAAAATGGAAATGGATCAGGCACACGCTAAGGAAACCATCGAATAACATCGCGTGCAATGCAGAGGTCATTGCTCGAGTGGAGCCCAACCATGAAACGACGATTGGCGCTCTGGTCCGAGAGTGACATGGAGGATATCGTGTGGTGAGGAGAAGATGGGAGATTACAGGCAGCTGTTTAGTCAGCCAGCTACAGAGGACAACAGAAAATAGAACAAAGTGAATGGAGATGTATTGTTGAAGACTAGACAGGGACAAAGGCAATTAATCAAGGTCAAAAATTAACGTGTGGTATGCACATGTAAAATCAGTGATACACAGTCTAGGGGAGAAACATTATGCTAATTACAAAGTTGAACAAAGCAAGAACAACAATTGTACCAGGATAATATGAGCTCATCTTTTATTATTTCGAGGATTCTTCTCAACTGGTTACAACCTGAACGATAAAAATATGAATTACATTACATTAAAGATTTGAACACACTTTTCCAAGAGCACAAGGAGTAATTGGTAGGAAGTAAAAGTAACATTAGTCCGGAATGAAATGTTTAAATAAGTATGACTATTTTAAATAGGTCGTCCAGGAGAGATTTTCCAAACAATTTGTCCATAACAGTAGCATGTCTTAAAACTGAATATAACACGGTGGAGAGAGAGATTAATCAATGAAGCTTTAGATTGTTCCGAAGACTTCAATATAGGAAAATTCCCATTTAGACATTTACAAAACAAAAGGATTGGGCGAAGAAATATTTACTTTTCAATTAGATCCTCATCTTACTCTGGCTCTACTCTAATATGTACTTAGCATTTTTATTATAATGCGTCGGTGGACTCTCGCCGACCATGTACATGGTCCGGGGTTCGATCCCCTGCCGACGCACACCTGATATCAATGGTTGGCCTGCAAAATTTGGGCTACCGATATCAAATGCTGGAACTTCCATACTTGTACCTTAAATACGGTGTGGAATCAAGCTATAATCAAAAAAATATAAAAAATAAAAATTTACCAATCAAGTGGCACTGATATGTTTGTTAACAATAATTAGTCAGTATCAACATGTCAAACAGTGGGGTGATAATTAACGAAGAAAATTAATACACACAATTAAAAGGTAGAAATGGTTACAACACATGGATTGCGTAATGCATAATTTTGGAAAAATGGAGAGTAATTAAGGAATAAGCGTGTGCACAGGTTGATTATATAACAGGTTGTTAAAGAAAATAAAACGATTTGGACAATGATAACTTGTAACTAAGGATGAATTGGTCATAGGAATAAAATAATTTCACAAGGATAACATATAATTAAAGATGAAGTAGGCCAAAAAATAAAATAAAATTTGAGTGAAGTAATTTTGTTGGTTTGTGTGCGACGTCTATTCCTAAAGGTTTGAAGAGTCTTGCAGTGATCTCTGAGCAGTTGTCTTTTATACATGGTAGAGCAATTTTCTTTGTGATTTCCTAGGGGGCCTTTGATATGATAGGTTGGCTTGGGGGTAGGTGTCTTTTGATGAAATTCCGTGGATATCCATCCATTCTTTTGGAAGATGTCCATGAAACATCGTTCTTCAATTTTCTTTAGGCTGGGAATGCTGCAGTGAGTCCTGGCCGGCCCTCTTGAATAGTGTTTGTATACAATTCCTTTTGTGTGTTATTCAATTGCTGCTGTTGTAATTCCTATTTTCCATATTTTTTTTCCCTCACTTTTTAGCTACATCTGTCCACAGTGAATTCACAAAATATCCAAGTCATTTTATCGATCAAACATCCATGCAGAATATAACCAATTTTAAATCGGTGAAATTTGTTAGTGAAGCACAAACACTCAGTGGTACATTTCTTGGCCCATTGAATATTCGTGGGCTGATTCAATCCACATCAGCTGAAGGTGAAACATTAGCCATCTTAGAAAATAATCGAGTGTCGCTGAGTCAACTAGCCATTGTTTTAATTATCCCCCTAATTCTCTCTGGATCATTATTAAACTGTCTATTAATCAATAATATAACACAACGTATATCACGTCACCAGTTACCATGGATAGTATATTTAATTTACATTATTCTATTGGATCAATTTGATCTGATGTTAAATTCAATCGATTTTCTTGTTGAATCATATCATGAAATACGCTTAGTTATTGTGCTACAATTTTTAGGACGTTTTTATTGTCAAATATTACCAATGATTTACAGTCTATTAAAACATATACACTCAGGTATATTTATTTTATTGACTATTGAAACATTGAAACTAACCTATAATCCATTGAAACAATTGAACGCGGGTGAATTAAAACAACGACAAAGAAAGCAAGTTATACAAAACACGTTAATATTTATTTCTGTAATAATTATCACACTGAATTGTCAGTTTATATGGACGTTTGATATCTCTCAATTGGAAACACTGATATTGCATGGAAGAATTGTACATAATCTGTATAAATGTGATTTTGCTACTACGTCGGTATTAAGTCCAACATTTTTATATTATATATGGCCATTATTTGATCATATATGCGGTGATATATTGCCGTGTTTAATATGTCTGTCAAGTGGAGTTGTTGGTTATATGCTATATCGATATAAAGTAAAACGATTAGTGGAAAGTATACAGGATTATATCCACCAAGGAGATGATCAGAAGGTCTACTCTGTTGAAACTGACGTGAAAAGATGCAAATATCAGGAGGAGGAGGAAGGGCAGGAGCTACCGCAGTCGCCTTCATTTCATCTACATGAGGAGCTGACGAATCATAATGATGTGTCAGAATTATTCAATGTTCAATGGATTCAACAAATTATTCGTGTTTTTATTTTATTTTGTTTTATTCATGGAATATTTTTATTACCAAGATGTTTATATTATTTGACGAAATATTTTCTCTTTATAAGTAAGTTTAGAATGCATTGGTTTTATTTCTACTTCTTGGTGAAATTTATTTTTATGCATATATGATCAAAATTTTACGTTCACATTTAATTGTTTAATCATGGATTGTTATCAGTTGTAGGATTTTTGAAAACCAAGGATTTCTGGACAGCAGTTTCATTCTAGGTCCATCAGGATTGCCTACGTTCGATGGCTTCATCGCGTGAGCAATTCTGAGATCCGGCAGCGTGTACCTGGACATAGTGGAGACCACCACACATTGAGTGTCGCCATCTGGAAACACCGGATTTGGTGGCTTGGACATGTGCTGCGAATGTCATCCGAGAGACTACCTTACCAGTGTCTGTTCAATAGCCCTGGGACGGGATGGGAAAAGCGGAGAGGTGGTCAGCCCATGACGTGGCTTTGTGGGATGAAGAATATTTATGTCATCGGTTTGTGCGTCACGACTCTCTGGTTGGAGTCTGAGAGATAGCTTGAATCGATGACTTGAAACGTTATCGGATACGGCCAAGAATCGTAACCAATGGCATGAACGTGCTGCAATTTCCTTCTGTCTTCCCTTGCCGACGATTATTGATGAATGCAGTTTGAACTTGCTGAATATGACTGTTTTCCTTCCAGATGAAGTTCTTTATCCGCTCTCCACCTATATTTTTACTTTTAATCTATGATGTTTTATTATTATTGTATGGCACACGTTCTTGATATGATAATTTCCGGAGTTTTTTGTTTTAAAATAAAATAAAATGATAAACTATTCGTCCTAGGTTAGGATTCTTCAATAATATGTGTCAATGACTCCAACGGGAGTTCTACTGACAGGTTGTGACCATTGGGAAGCTACCGAGTCAGGTGTGAGGACAAATAGTTGCCAATGTCATTAGATGGCATTGTCGGTAAAAATCGCGCAACTGGATCCCGTCTAAGCGGTTGAATAGTCAGTGAGCTGACCTTGTAATCTAAAAGGCACTGGATTTGACCTCTTCCAGGGCCATGCATACATACTGATGAAGACTCCCGAAGTAGGACTAAACAACTGACCAATACTCATTGTTTTTTAAAGGTTCCCTAAGTGATGTAAATCGTCGATCAAACTTGATATTCATTGTGATAAAAAAAATGCTTTCGTATTTCTCGAGGAATAAATTGCTTGAGAAATTGTAGACCATAGTTTCTTCTACATGCTTTAGATGTAAATTGTACGACTGATTTTTATAAATTAATTCAGTTTCAGATTTTCCAGTCGACTGATTGGATCGAAGTGTTCCTCGGTCTCAGGTTGACATGTCAGCTTCTTGTGCAGATACTTCGACGATGTCTGCTGGCCAAGTAATTACAAGTTAATCGGTAGATAGTGACTAGCAGTGGAAAATCTAAAATTGAATTTAATAATTAATATGACCTGCTGACCAAGAGGTGGCTCTTGTGGCCTAAGTGGTCTAGTGGAGAACTCTTTCGCTGGTGTTTGAAACTATGGGCACTGGGTTAGGGTTTCCTGACTGGCACTGTTTTGTTTTTGCGTTCACTTCCTGAGTCCCGGCTGAAACATAGGACTCTAAACTCTTGAAATTTGAAGTTATATTAGCAAAGGGAATTGTTTTTAAGGCATAGAGTCACCAAATTCACAGCCAATCTTCACTGCTTTACCAGCTGCTAATAAGTAGATAGGGTTCAGGAGTGTGTTAGCCGTCGACTACTTGAATGGTTGGTGAATATATATATGCAAAATACTTCGCTTAGATTTAACAGTTTGAAAACATTTTAGCCGCTGATAGTCATGATAAAAAAAGCTTTATTCTGGATAGTTTTCTCAAAACGTACAAAACTTTTAGCAGAATTTATCCCTTGATATTTCAGTTGGCAGTAGATAGTGTGACGTAGTTTTATATGACCTGAAGTGCAAACGAATCTATTATGATATTTATAATTTGTCTCGTTCGAGTAATACACGACATTTCGTTGAATTTTCAAAAGAAAGGTTCCTGAACAAAGAGTATTTACATTTTCGATAACCTACTCTTCATCATCAGGTTCTACAGTTATATATCCATCCATAATAAGGAATGAATGGGAAAGATGAAAAATTTTATCTCTGAGAGATTTGGTTGGTTTGTTTAAATGCCCCCCTGAATAAATCCAGCCTCATTAAGATTCCTACGTAAGAAATGTGACTCTCCTTCAAACGGCAGTATTACATAGGCTACGAATCCTATATAATTTTTTTATCATTTTCATTACAAATCTTATTTTTTCTATGGTTCTTCATATATTTCTGAATAAATTCTGGTGGGGATTGTTAGTTATTCACTAGTAGTGTAACAACAGAAGGCAAGAGTCAGGCAACAGATCATTTATTAAGGAAATCAACGCATATTTATATATTTTCATGTACATTGCTATGGATATTTAAGTAAACAAACACAGTCTTCTGATTGGTTGTTTCTCACTGAAAGTTAATCTTTCATCTCTTTGTGACTATTTCTTAATGTCAAATCACCTATATGTTAACTGTATCTGCCTACGCAAAGTCTGCTGTGGTCGGTTTTGAATCAGTCTTTGTTCATATTTTCTCACGACAAATCTTGGGAACGTAAACACTGGCGTAAATTATTATTATTATTATTTTACGAGCTGATCACGGGCTGATATCAGTTAGAGAACCATTGAAAACCAGGGAGTACTGGACAGCTGCTCTTTCATCCTAGTTTGGGAATCATCGGCAGTACGCACCCACTGGGATTCGAACCCAGGACCTTCCGGTTACAAGGCAAGCTCGTATACCATTCAGCCACTGGGACCCGATTCAATGGCTCATGAATTCTAACTTCTACCAACTCGTGATTTTAGCACGACCACAACTATTGTCGTTGGTGGGACATCCATCCACACACGTGACTTCTAATTGGACCTCACTGGTCACGACTTCTCACTAGAACTCCAGGAAGCTCCAACCTGTAGCAAGTCACTAGCGAGCATCAGAATAATTTTCTATAGTTTGGTTTGTAAGGATTAGTTATGTTTTACGAGTTGATCACGGGCTGATATCAGTTAGATGCTCGCGCTAAAATCACGAATTGGTAGAAGTTAGAATTCATGAGCCATTGAATCGGGTCCCAGTGGCTGAATGGTATACGAGCTTGCCTTGTAACCGGAAGGTCCTGGGTTCGAATCCCAGTGGGTGCGTACTGCCGATGATTCCCAAACTAGGATGAAACAGCAGCTGTCCAGTACTCCCTGGTTTTCGATGGTTCTCTAACTGATATCAGCCCGTGATCAACTCGTAAAACATAACTAATCCTTACAAACCAAACTATAGAACATTATTATTATTATTATTGTATCCTTTAATTCCCACAGGAACATAGGGCTTCAGCCGTGCGTCTTCATTGCGTTCTGCTCTCTACTAGAGTCTTCACCTGGCTCCATGTCTGCCCACACGTTTTCATCTCCTCTTCACATGACCTCCTCCATCTCACCCTTGCACTGACGACCAACTCGCCGCTTCCCTTTCGGGTTCCACCCGGGGGGTTGTCTAGTGATGTCACTTGATGGTTACTGAGAGAAGACAAGTGTTAACGAAGGTTTGTAGTTTGTTTGAGATGCTCTTTATGACGCGCCAGGTCTCTGATCCCTATGGTGAGTAGCACTGACTTCACATTGGAGTTGAAAATTCGGATCTTATTTTCATTTTCATGCTGAATGCTGTTGACCTCCACATAGACTTGAGAGTAGTGAAAGCTTGTCTTGCTTTTCCGATCCTTGCTTTGATATCCTCGTCTGTTCCGCCTGTAGTTGAAGCGATGCTTCCCAGGTAGGTAGGTAGGTAGGTGAAGGAAGTTGTTTCTTTCAGATTCCTCCCATTTATGCTGATTGCTGTCTGTTGTTGTTCTTGTTCAGGAATCCTCACCACCTCTGTTTTCTCTATGTTCACCTGAAGTAAGTCCTATCTTTGATGCTTCTTCTGCCAACTTGTTGCTTTTCGCTTGCATATCTTCCAGTTTGTGGGAAATCAGACATATATCATCGGCGAAGTCCAGATCCTCCAAATTTTTTGTATGGGTCCATTTTATGTCTGTTTCCTCATTTCCCGCTGTTTGTCGCATTATCCAGTCTACTGCAATCAGGAAAATCATTGGCGATAGTAGGCAGGCTTGTTTTACTCCTGTCCTCACTTCGAAGGATTCTGTAGGTTTCCCGTTGTGGATTACTTGGCATGCAGCATTGTCGTACAGCAGTTGGATGAGATGTTTAATTGTCGGTGGCACCCCATAGTAGCAAAGTAGTTGCCGAATCACCTCTCGATCGACGCTGTCGAAGGCCTTTTCAAAGTCGATGAAGTTGAGATAGAGAGGTGACAGCCATTCCAAGCTTTGTTCAATGATGATCCGTAATGTGGCGATCTGATCAATATATGACTTGTTTCTCCTGAATCCAGCCTGTTCCGGTCGAAGTTTTTCATCCAGGGCAGTGTGTTTGATTCTCACCAGGATGATGCGGCTTAGTATTTTGCTTGGGATGGACAGGAGCATAATTCCGCGCCAGTTCTTGCATTGACTTAAGTCTCCTTTCTTTGGTAGTTTGAATAAGTATCCTTTCTTCCAATCCTCGGGTACTTTGCCTTCTTTCCACACCTTCTCCAGTAGTGGCAACATCAAGTCCGCTGTTGTCTCTGGGTCCGTTTTCAATGCCTCTGCTGGGATTCCATCTGGTCCTGCTGCTTTTCCAGCTTTCAGCATCTTGATTGCCTTCAGGACTTCTGATTTCGTCGGGGGTTGGTGTTCACTGGTAGCTCTGTCTCCGTTGTTGGAATTGCTGGGCGCGTTGTAGGTGGTGGTCGATTTAGGAGTCTTTTGAAGTGTTCAGCCCAGTGTTTCCTTTGCTCCACTTCTTTGGTGAGTGACTTTCCATTGTCATCCTTCACCGGCTTGATTTGTGTCAAACGTTTGCCCGATAGGTACCTAGTAGTCTGGTATAGTGTTGCGAGGTCTCCTTTGCCTGCAGCTTGTTCTGCTTCACTTGCCATGGCTTCATAATATTTTCTTTTGTCTTCCTTGGCACTCTTATTTACTCTTCTGTTCAGTGTATTGAAGCCTGCATTCAACTCCTGTTTTTGTTGCTCGTCGATGGACTGGAGAGTCTTTTGTTTCACCATCTTTCTCTTTTCTCTTAGTCTCCAAGTGTCCGTAGTGAGCCACTGTTTGTCCTGTCTCTTCTTTCTGCCTAGAACTTCCATGCAGGTTTGACTCCAAATTGTCTTCAAGTTGTTCCAGTGCTTTTCGACGCTGACCTCTTTGCCAGTGTTGATTTGTGTCTCGGCTTTGTCTTTTATTCTTGCAGTGAGGATATCCTTTGTGTCCTGGTCCTTCAGTTTTTGAGTGTTGAACTTGGCTTGTGGTCTATCTGCAGCTCCTGATTCTCTGAAAGCTTTTAATTTGATTTTGATTGTCTCTTGTACGAGATAGTGGTCTGAGCCAATGTCTGCTCCTCTTCTTACTTTTGTGTCAATTACTGTCTACCAATTTGGCAAGTGAAAAGTACAGCACAAGACAGAAGCAAGTGGAGGCGTGCAGTTGAAGCCCTATGTTCCACTAGGAACCCAAGGGAACAATAATAATAATAATTTGGCTAGTAGACAGCTCTCACCACAGTAGTATTTTCTTTATGTGTTTAATTTCGTTATTTAAATCTTCTGGCTTACTAGTTAGGCTCATGGCCCGATTATAAAGACATTTAACGAAACTTACATCGATTTCACTATTTGACTTCTGTATTGAGCTTGTTTTCTTCATTATTACTTTTTCTTGCTGCTTGGATTCTTCTCAATACTTTCAACTCATAGATATCCTTTACCACTGACCTTTTTTTCAACTGACACTGCCTTTTCCAATATACTACTTATTATTTCATAAGTAACACCCTCTACATTACATTAAATAATCTTTCCATTTCCATTTCAGGTAGAGAAACCTACCGTAGTTATCCACCAAATGTACAGGGACCAGATGATATGGAAAATCACACAGAAGAAGAAGATTTATCCAATAAAATCACACAAATTATGGAATTGCTTAAACCATATGAAGTTTATTTGGACAGTTATGAAACTGCACTGCGTTATTCCAATTTCCTTGAAGTACACATCAGAGCTATCACCTTATTATTTGGTGTAGAAGAATTCAGAACTAATCTCTACGCATACTTCAACACATTTATTCAATATGTTAAACATTTATCACCTAATATACGCAAAAAGATACATCATTGCTGTAGAAAGCGGACACACCGTGGAAAATGCGATAAGTCATTTGTTGAACACAATCAATCCCAGATGACTCATGAAGACTCCATAGAAATGATGCCTGATGTAAGCAAAGTATCACAGTATCATTGCAGTGACCTGAGCGACAGTAATAGTAATAGTAATAATAATAATGTACAGTCAAATCTTGACGTTCCGATGACTACTTATGTGTTAAACCATCAGTCTACTCATATGCAAAACAGTAGTATACGTAATGTTAGTACAAAAAATATTGAAGTGAATACATCCACTCATCAAACTATTACATCAAATATACCTATTTTAAATATTAACTCAAAATGGAATTGGAATAATAATTCATTAAAACAAGAAATATTGAATGTTGAACGCGATCAGTTCAATACTAATTCTAACAGTGAACAGACACCGAGAAAGTATAAAATTATCTATTTATGAAATTCATTACTAAAAGGAAGCACGATTATGTTTCCAAAAGAAATACTTCTTTTGTTTTCAGAGATACTTATTTGACTTTGAATAATTTGAAGTAAAAATGATTGTTAAATTGAATGTCTTTATCTTTAAATGTATACCTGTTTTTCATCATTAGCTGAAAACAGCTGGAGAGACGTTAAAGAAGACGAAAGTAGAATGCATTTGATGATATCCGTTTTACTTTCTTTCCAGACTTTTCTCAGTAGTTAGGACAGAGCCCTGCAAATTCAAATAAACCTTATAGGTGGCTTGTTATTATTTTTATTCTTATACGTTCCCAGTGAAAAACAGGGCTTGAAGTTTCGGTAGCAGTGGCGTTTGATGATATTAGATGGTTGGAGGCAATCGGTCACACGAAGCCTTACCTGAACTAGGTTTCGTGCTAGTTGACACTCAACAGTTAGCAAGGCGTATCTGTAACCTTGAAGAAACTTATGTCTCTTCTGAGATTCGAACCCACGTCACTTAGTGAATTCTGCAGTCAGCTATCGGGCTGGCTCGCGACTGACCTCCTGTAGGACTGTAGTGGGTAGTTTGATTGTACAGTGGTAACTAGTGTGATGTGTCTAATCCTTTCTTTGGTGCAGATTGAATTCTATCAGTCAGGTTTGCAATGTGGCCAGCATTCTAGGTAGCTCACCATCATGGTACACATTGATTTGATGATACTAGATGTTATCAAAATATCCATGACAGTCCTACAGGAGGTCAATCGCGAGCCAGCCCGAATAGCTCAGTGGTAAAGTCTCTGACTGCAGCATTCACTGGGTGACGCAGGTTCGAATCTCATAAAGGAGGGGCATGTGTTTCATCAAGGCTGCAGACACGCCTTGTTGACTGGTGAGTGCCAGCTAGCACGAGACCTAGGTTCAAAGCTTCCTGACGATTGCCTCCAACCACCTAATACAAACAATTCACAGTGCACCGTGATGGCGAGCTACCTAGAATGGTGACCACATTGCAAACCTGACTGATAGAATTCAATCTGCACCAAAGGAAGGAAAAAATACATCACAGTAGTTACCAGTGTCCAATCAAAGCAGTGGCGTTCATTTTTACGGGATGGGGTTGCTAGCCGGTCTCATTCCCAACCTTCCCTCTTTACCGGGATTATTACTGGCTTAGCGAGGTAATGGAGTGCGTCGGTGGCCGGGGATCGAACTCCGAACCACACTAGGCTTGGTTGGTGAACATTCTACCGCTGTGCCACCAACGCACATAGGAGCTTTGTACTTCTGACGAATAAGGTTTAATATGGGAGAAGTGGTCAGTCAGTGTTTTTAAACAACCCCGGGACTATTGATGCTAATTCCACAATGTACAGTACATACTAAGCTGTGGTGTGAGTGCCAAATAATGCGCGAAAGCCCCTGATACGACTCAAACGATGCCTAGCGAAGATCGATAGTCTATGAAGGTTGTGTGACTTTGTCTTTTGGGAAAAGGAGGATAAACAGTGGGAAAATTTTCTTTTTGACGAATTAATTTCAAGAGATGCTGTGGAATCCTATTTAAATTTAACAAAGAATTCATAAAAACCAATCAGATGCTGGGAAAGTTGCTCTAAAAAATGTATCCTATAATGTCAGGTGTAGTCTGTAAGGCGATGACTAAGCAGAGATTATAAAAGCGGGAGGAATTAATTGAGGTAACTTAATCAGTGTGAAAATTATGGTAAGAACGTTACTCTGACTATGGTAAGGTGAATGAATGAATGTGTGTTGTGTATTTTGAATGCATAGCTTCAGTTTCAGGTACCAAATGGCCGGTGAGTCGACTGTATATAAATGACTTATCCGAAGTCCTTTCATGGGATATTGAGGAAGTCTATGTAGCACTTTGAAGCAGTCATTTGAGGGTGCCTGATATCTAGATTTGACAAGATGATTGAGGATGGAGCTGCTTGTGATCTTCTTTTTCCCTCTAGCTAGCCATCCCGAACAGTGTTCAAAAATGCAGAGTGGTATATTATCCTTAACTCAAGACTGGGTTAATTGCTTGCTAAAGTATTTGATTTGTAAGATAGCGGAATGGAATGTGGGCTTCAGGCATTTGTAAAAGCGATTTCTAAGAATTTCTGATTCACTGTTATCCTTGAACTTTAGGTTCATGATGAGAGTTTCCTGAGGAATAGTCGCAACTTTCGGCGACGGAGAATTGTCTCTCATGATTTTGTCAATAAATTAAGGTGGATATCTGTTTTTCAGCTCGGTGTCATATAGAGACTTGAATTCAGTCTTGCTTTCGGATCAGTGGGACGAAGCTCTGGAATTTTATAAACTGTCTCATCCATGTTGGTTTATGATGTATAACTGTTTGGATCGTGCAGTCTTGTCTTCCGGTAAGTATTACATCCAAGAATGGAAAAGGCATGCTTGATTCACGTTCTAGAGTGAATTTAATTCATGTGTGTGCCGCACTGAAGGTTTTGAGGAGATAATCTACATCAAGTTTTTGATCACAAACTATAAATGTATCATCTATATATCTTCTATAAAGGTGCAATTTACTGATCAAAGCAGCGAGGATGGTGTTTTTGAGACTCACCATGAAGCAGTCATCTAAGAGTGGACCAAGAGGTGTCACATCATTTTTCTGCAAATAGAAATATTTGTTGAATTTGAATTAAATGTTAAACGTACGCCTGAGAAGTAATTCCATCAGGTAATTGATAGGAAGAGGAACTTGTAGTTTGTTGGATTTGATGTAATCACATAAGAAGTATATGGTCTCAGTTAATGAAATGTTTGTGAATAAAGAGGTAACATTTAGAGAAAGCATTTGTCTCTCAAGCGCACTGACATCTTTCGCTCATTTGATAAAGTGAAATGCGTCTTTAAGTCTATATATACCTAGCCATATGGCCCCGAACCGATTCGATGATACCTGTTATCTTTTTTACGATTCGATGGGCTGATCCGGTTGCTCAGTATTAAACGAGGGGATTCCGAATATCCCATTTATACATGGATACATTACTAGGTATTCGGGACCTGAAACCGTGTGGTGAGAGATGGTTGCTAGCCAAATTGCTAGACAGTAATTGACGTCAATGTTTATGTCTCAAATATTAGTCATGTGAAAACAAGGTCAAAGATGGACAGCAGACTTTGCGTAGGCGGATACAGTTAGCAGATAGATGATCCGACACAGCCACAAAGAGATGCAAGGTTAATTGTCTGTGAGAAAGAACCAATCAAAAGACTGTATTTTCTACTAACAATAATCTACAATAATGTAAATTAAAATCTATAAATATGTGCTGATTTTCCTTAAATAAACGATCTGTTGCCTGACTCTTGCCTTCTGTCGTTACAACCGGACATATCTACGTTCAAAAGCACCACATACATTTACTCATCTTACCTTGACGGTAAGGTAACGGCCTTACCATAATTTTGTTTCATTTTATTGTTTAAGTTTATTATTTGTAAAAATTATATTTGTAAAATCTCAGCGAAATTGAAATGATTAATTCCAATGTTTCCTACGTTCGGCAAACTGGTTCGAACTCCTTCAGAGAAATTAATCTAAATTAACATAACAGAGGTTTATATATTAAAAATAGATATCTCTTGTTTTTTAGAAACTTTGTCCAGTCATATGAGGCATGAAACAGTCATTAAAATATAATAAAGAAACTAAATTGTATGAGTTGTGATCCAAATTTGACCTCAGACAAACAAATATTACTGTACTTTTGTTAAACAATGTAAACAGTGTGTACTTTTCATCAGAATTTTAGTTATTACGTTCGACTAAAAGTTTATGGTCGTAGATAACTGAATGTGAAAATATATGTGTATATGCTGTATACAATGATGTGTGCAGAACAATATTTGTAAGTCTGAGATCAAATTTCGATCACATCTCATCTTAACGGTCTACCAGCCCGCCTTGTAACCAGAAGGTCCTGGGTTCGAATCCCAGTGGGTGCGTACTGATGAAGAGTCCCAAACTAGGACGAAACAGCTGTCCAGTACTCCCAGGTTTTCCAATGGTTCTCTAACTAATGTCAGCTCATGATGAAAATCCTGTAATAACATTTTGTTTTCCATACAGATTTTATGGAAAAAAAACACTTTATTGTCTTCCACTAGTTTTTCTCCATTCTGTAAATTTTATATTGATGATTGATTTTCAAACTTATTACGTCATTTCAGTTTCTGCCCCGTTTTTTTCTAATCTTACTCAAACTGTGTCGTTATACTTTAACTACTATCTGTTTGTTATCGACACCTTCTCCACCACTACGGTAGCCTACTGTAACGGTTGCATGCGAAAGACTTGTTTAAGGAATGTTTATTTGCAATTCGGTATCTCTGTATATCGAAATTATGTACACCATATCTTCAACACACCACCTGCACAGATCTTCCGTTCTGTGCTACTTCTGGCCTTCCTTCATCATTTTGTGTATCTTTGTGTTCCTTTTACGTCTCCCATGTATCTCCACAACGCTGTATCATTTGCTTTCTCTGACATCAAATATATCTCCCTGCTATTTGATGTTTCTATGCTCATGAACATCTCTTTATATACATATATATACTACTGATAAATCTTATCAGTAGCACACGCCACAATACTTGTTTTGAAATCTGATAACATTGACCTCTATTCCTCGTGAATTCATGGATTCACACTGCTGCTCACGAGTACTAAAGTAGCATGAAACATTTATCCTGTGCTCAGCGATTTCAAATAGTTCTTCTGACCAATGTTGACTTGGAACGAAATCACTCTTGAACTAAATTAAAAATATACACAAAACATCATATTTTGACTAAGCTTCCTAGGAGACTACCTTTCATCTTTTCACATTACGCATTCCAAAGTATATAAATTATGTCGACGACAAGTGTCAGTTAAACCTAGGAAACAACATTTCAGCGTAAAATGGCGTCTAAAGCAGATGAACTAGGCTATTAAACTATGAATTCCGCATAGTTGGTATCTACCATTCACCAAAAGCAAAGATAAATCAGATACCGTTCCATGCATCAAATAATCGTTTCTGTAACCTGTTAGTTAATTTAAAAAGTAGGTTTTAAGTCAGTGGGATTAGACAGGGTTTCCCAGTCTACCCATTTCTCTCTCACTTTGTCATCGATGACATTCTGGAGTCAGCTCTGAGGTACATGTGTGCATGATGGCGGTGTAAATCTGCTTCCTGGAGAAACACTTTTCGACTTCGAGTATGCAGACGATATCATCTTACTGTGCGATAGCATGCACGCTGCCAAGTCTCACTTATTCAGTTGGTAATCAATGTCTGTAAGTATGGTATGTGCTTTACGCCATCTAAGTGAGAAGTAACGTTGCAAGATTGATGGGAGCCCGTACCTGCCCTCACCCTTGCAGGTGATTTACTTGAAGTTTTCAACAAGTTCGTGTATATAGGTAGCCGTGTGTGCGTATGCTGACGAAGGTGTGACGAATGAGATCTCTAACCATATAGTGAAAGCTAGGATGGCATACGTCAAAGTGAGCCACCTCTGGCACCGTTGTAATGTTATCCAGGCTGTCAAAGGTCAGGTTTAAAATGTTTCGGTGCGTACAGTTTTGCTCTACACCAGCGGAACTTGTCTTCTCCGAGTTAAGGATGTGTAGCAACTTTGCATTCTCAATCATTGCTGTTTCTGCTAAATTGCTTGCGTTCGATTGCATCATCACATGAGTCATTCTGAAGTCCAGCGGCGAGTATTTGGACATAGTGGAGACCACCATTCATTGAGTGTCGTCATCTGGAAACACTGAATTCGGTGGCTTGGACATGTGTTACAAATGCCATCTCAGAGGCTTCCGCGCAGGTCACTGTGCGTCACATCTGTGGGACGGGATAGAAAAAGCGAAAAAGTGGTCAGCCCATGATGCGACGTCATGGGGTAAAGGATATCTGTGATAGATTAGCATAGGTCGGTGCGTCTGGACATCCAGGTTGGAATCCAAGAGGCAGCTCGAATCAGTGGGTCGAAGCGTAATCGGATAATTTGGCGAAGAATCACAATCATCAACGGCGAACGTTCCTTTTTCCTTACCTTCCTGACAATAATTTGACAAATGCTGCTTTCTACCCCAATGAGGCTATTTATTCATTTTCTCTCTATTTTTTATGTTATTTTATTATTATTGTGTGATGCATCTTCTCAGTGCCATACTGTACCAGGTTTCGCGTTTTAAATAAAGTATAAGTCAATTACAGATCTCCTTGTCATCCAACCTTCAGCAAGACTTCAACATAAATCTGTAAGACAAGCCTTCATTTCCTTCGTTTCTCGATAACTTTCTGCTTAAGATTCTACAGGTTAATGCAGATTGAATACATTGCACCATTTGTTATGTACTCACCAACATGCCAAACACAGTTGTGACTTTGTATTTTGCACAGAGACGAAGTGATAGCTATACACAAATAAAAACGCTTGATTTATAAATCCATGTTTTTGGGTGCGAGACAGTGCCATTGAAAGTGGAAGATATGAAAAGCCTGGATAGCTCTCTTTCATCATAAGTGACTGCTTTCTACCTCCCGTGTTAAATAGTATAATAAGGTGAGCAATATTGAGGTGAGTTCACAGTCAAGGAGAAATCAATCGACGAGGTTGTGAAGCAGCCGTCTCGGTTGAGATGGTTAGGACATGTGTTACACATGCATCCTTAGCCAGCCATCGCCTTCATCGACCGACGGGAGATTTTAGCTGACTGGCATAGGATTGATCAGGCTGGAAAAGAGAGAGAGCTAGTGGTGGTGGTGGTCAAACCAAAACATGGCTTCGTCAGTCAATGAAATTCACAATAGTTGGTTTAAGACAGCTACGTAGGGAGGAATAGACTGTTTCACTGACTGGTTGGCATCCTCAGGATAGTAAGTAAGATCCAATGAGGGCTGAAGACAATTGGTGATATGGCTCAAAATGATAGTTCTCAATGGCTGGCGCAGGTGCATTCACTCTTCGTGATTTATAATACCCAATAAAACTCTATTGTTCTTCCATATTACTATTTGTTCTTTTTGCTTCACTCACACTTCTGTTTATTATCTCTCTCTGTCTTTTGAATCTCTCTTTACTCTCTTCTCTTGCTTTGTGTGCTACATGGAGGGAGTGTGGCAAGTTCAACTGCTGCACATCTGTGCGAATTTCTACGTGTAAACTAGTAAGTCAGTCAATGACTTTTAGGGTTACCAGGAGAGATGATCAACAAACTCGTAAAGAATTTTCACAGTTCACACTTTAAATTAAAGTATGCATTGAGAATGTTGTCTATTAAGACATTGTAAACGGCTTCACAAGTAAACCATCCAACCGAAAGAACAACAACAACTACACCAAAATCATCCATTTGAGCTTCAAATGTAGAACGATACAAAAAAATTTGTCGATATCTTTCATAAAATAAAGGCAAAGTTAAACTTTAAGCACCACTAACTACCAGTCAGCGAATGACCTCGAATGCACCAATCACGTGAAGGAGGCATTTTTGTGTATGGATTACACATAAATTTATGAAAAAAATGCATAAAAACTGTAGAAAAGTGTTACAGAGGATACCTTCCTCTCACATGTGATAAATGTAGCTCTCAGTTTTAGGTTCGAGTATCAACAAAGTATAAATTCCATTGTGAGTAAACTTTATTTTGCTAAAGTCTCCTAGTGTAATACAGTAATATTTCCTGAGCAATAAATTGTGCTCGAAACGTGGTCATCAGTAAATATTACTGTATAACAAACACTATGAGACTTTATCAAAGTAAAATGTACTCACAACGGAAATGTACTCTACCGCCACAGTGCACAATTTCTATTCTCTTATATCTGTGCGTCGGTGGCACAGTGGTTAGGACTCTCGCTGACCATGCACATGGTCCGGGGTTCGATCCCCTGTCGGCGCACACCCGATATCTATGGTCGGCCTGAATTTGGGCTACCGATATCCAAGCTGAAAATTCCATACTTGTACTGAAAATACAATGTGGAATCAAGCTGTAAATCAAAATAAAAATAAATAAAAATATCAACTGAGTAATTTAATCACATTCTATGCATGTAATTATTAAGGTCTTGGAACCCTAACAATAAAACTAACCTTTCCCGAACCAACTCTAATGTCGCCTTTATCAGGTTAACTTAACCCTAACTTGTTCTTGGTTTAAAGAGTAACTTAATCTTTCCCAAACCTAAGCTGAAACTTGCCAGATATCCCATTTAAAATAGCACAACACTTCGATGAGCATATTTTATTGGCGATGACAACATTATTTGCTAGGTTTCACTAACTTGCTCAGTGAGCGTTTCAAGGTCATTGGTGCTTCAAGTTTAACTTGGCCAAAATAACTATTTGTCGAAATCTTAATTTTTTTCTAATATATTTTCTAAAAAAAAAATATCTCGATAAGTCATCATCATCATGTACAACACAATATAAGATGAAAACAAGATGAGGTAAGGTAAGGTAAAGTGAGGTGAGCAGTAAATGCAAATTCCTCTTAGTAAAAAAAACCCTGAATTTTATCCTGTTTTTGTCTCCAGTGTAAATATACAACTAATTAAAGATGTCATAGGATCCAACTGACAGTCATTGATCAATAGCGGGTCCTCCAATTGACTCATTTGATCCACAGATAAAGAATGTTTCCAATTCAATAAGAAACCAAGTGAATCAGACGACGACGACGATGTTGTCTTTGTAGATGACGAATTAGTCCTTGTCAAAGATGTTGACGATGACTTTGATGAGGATAACATTGATTGTTGTTTAATAAAGTTAAATTGTGATTTAGGCGATTTCAGCATATTACCACTGTTGCCGACTGAATGTGGATTGATTGTACTTAATTGAAATACACGAATATCAGAGAATTCATCGTCAGAATCTTCATCAAAATCACAGTCACCACCATCATCATCAACAGCAGGAGCAGCAGTAGCGGCAGTACTAGCAGTGTCTTTATGCATTCGACTAATATTCTCTTTATCATGTTCCAATTTAACTGGATCATTATTATTATTATTGGATAAGCCAGAAGAAGAAGATGATGTTGAAAGAGATGGACTTGGTGTGTGAGCGGAATTTGCCTCGACTTCAACAGATTGTTGACAATTACATTGAATTAAATCATGAGTCCATGATACTGTTTGTGTATTTGGAATTAGGAAGAGTTCCTAAAAGTGTGAAAAAAGGAATATTTATGAAAAACAAATAAATCAATAAATCAAATGAAAGAAGAGGAAAAGTAACTTTTCTGGAAAATATACTGCAGATATAGTATGTACTTCTAAAACGAGACACCATCGTTAAGACCCGATAAACCAAACTTATTGTTATTATTATTCCCTTGAGTTCCAAGTGGAACATAGGGCTTCAAAAACACATCTCCACTTTGTTCTGTTTTTCACTGTCCTCTTCATCTGGGTCCACGATTTCCCAAACTCTCTCATTTCTTCCTCGCACGATCTCCTCCATGTCACCCACAAGTAGACGACCCACTCGTCGCTTCCCACTAGGATTCCACTCGAGCAGTGGCCTGGCGTACGATGTCATTCGGCGGCCTTCTCAATGTATGCACGATCAATTCATCTCCATTTTCTCCTACATATTTGTTGAGCGATCCGTTCTTGCTTGTTGGTTTGTTCCCATAGTTTCTTGTTACTAATTCATTCTGGCCAGCTGGCCGTGTAATCTTCAGTGTGGAGCCAGCCAGTGAAGGAGGTAACTGTAGATAAAACTCTGTCGTGGACTGTAGGAAATGCTTTCCATGACGCGCAGTGCAAGTTTCTGACCCGTACAGAAGAACTGACTGACTGACTTCGTATTAGTGTTGAACAAAATCCAAATCTTGTTCTTTATGCTGGCTGAGGCGGGGTGCAGAAGATTTCGAAACTGGTTTGAGATTAAAGAAGGTGTATCCTACCTTTTCGATTCTGACCTTGACATCTTCATCCGTTGCGCCTGTAGTTGAAACGATGCTTCCTAGATAAGTGAAGGAAGTAACCTCTGTCAAATCTCTCCCTTTGATGGTGATTGGTGCTGGTTGTTGTTGCTGTTGGTTGGTTATCGTCATTACCTACGCCTTCTCTATGTTAACCTGGAGTTCACTCTTCACTGCCAGCCAGCCTCTTCGGCTAGTTTGTTGGCTTTCGCCTGCAAGTCTTCAACTTTGTTTGACATTAAACATAAATCATCCAAGCATGAAATCCAGATCTTCCGGAGTCTTCTTATCAGTCAGTGCAGTGTATTCCTGTCTTCTTGCTCCCCACGCACAGTCTGGTGCACAATCCAGTCCACCACAATTAAGAATACCATCGGTGATAATAGCCAACGAACACCAATTCCAATTACATAGCAATAGTGAGTCACCATGTTTAGTGACAACATTACAAACTTTACTGATGAAATTCAGTCAACACCCATAAAAGAAAAGACTAAAAACTTGAAGTTGGTTATTCCCTTAGTAACACAGATCAGTGTATGAATCACAATCCTACACGATTTCAACCATGAATATAAATAGGTCAGTGGTACAGCAGTAGTCTGTGACTACAGCGCTGGATGACACCGATTAGAACCTCGCAACGAGCATAAGCCAAAGTTTGATATCAATGGCCTCTAAGTACGTAAAGATAAATCTTCGACGTACACGCTAAGAGGCAAAACGAATCAGCGGGAATGAATTTCAGTCAACAAATCAATAAGGAAGAGAGATGTCAGTTAAGTACTTCAGATGAAATCTAATTAGAAGATACCAGGAAGATAATGTTTCAAACTGTAGAAGGATTACTACTTTGAAGTTCCAGGTAATTTAATTTAATTGCATCGAAATGCTTGGTCACTGTTGACACAGCAAATTCTAATATGAACGCTTCAACTATGCCTTACAATTAACATACTGGATAACGCCTAATATTGAGGTTGGGCCTCGGTCGAGTGCTAGGTAGGTGAGAGAGGAAATCAATCGACGAGGCTGTGAAGTTACACCGATTGAGATGGTTAGGACGTATGCCTAGTCATCGCCTTCCTCGACGGGCAATCTTAGCTGATATATGGTCAGCCTGGAAAAGAGCTAGCGGCGGTCAAACCAAAACATGTCTTCATCAGTCAATGAAATCCACAATGGTTATTATAAGCCACGTGGGAAGGTGTAGACTTCCTGACAGGTTGGGGTCCCTGGGACGGTAAAAACCAATGATGGCTAGAGACAATTGGTGATATAGTTCAAAGTGATCGTTCTCAATGACTGGCGCAGATGCATCCACTCCTTGTGACTTATGATTTCCAATGAAACTATATTGTTCTTCGTTATTACTATTCCTTTGTCTCACACCTCTGTTTACTGTCTATATTATGCATTTCTTCTACTTTCTTCTCTTTCTTTGTGTGCTCCATGGAGTATGGCGACTTGAACTGGTGCACATCGGTGCACAGTTCTATGTTGAAAACACACAGACAGACAGACAGAACGAGGGAATCATATACGTATATCTCTTTCCAGTTGAGACTCACTTGACGGATGCATCTTCATCTGCAGTGAGTAATGGTAGGTTCCATTTCCTTTCAAAACATTTGAATAAAGTGTTTTACTGTTATTATTTTTCTCTTATCAGTGAGTAGGAACTCAGCTGTCTGGAACAAATTTCTCATACACCAGACCTTGAGACGTGCTCTGATGCCTTAGGGCCATCAAAGCTGAAGTGAGTGGATCGCGATGTGAAACCACGACGGGAGATTGTGTGGTTAGTCAGTCGAATGAGCCATATCATTGATGATCTCCTACAGTACATGAGCGAATCTTTTTTTTCTTTAAATACACGGGAATCGTTGTTGTAAAAGACTTTATTAATAATGGTGAGTACCAATCTCTGAAGTAAGTTCACTTTCCAAAGGTAAGAAAGAAAAAAAATGTTACAAAATCAACACTTGTATATACAAACAGCTGGTCATAAAATATAACCACTATAGGATGGTTAGCAGAAAGGAACTTTGGTAAGGAATTAAACAAGAACCTATCGCCCCACAAATACAAAGAAAGAAGTGGAGATGGATTAGCCTTGACTAGGCTTGACTAATACGGTATCTAAAGTTCTAGGCTCAATAATAATGTGTCCATAAAATGGTACTCGGGAGGAACAAACACAATAGAAAATCAGGCAAGCCTTAGACCAGGAATAGGGAGTATTGATCATATCTTCACCATTCGACAGATTCTGGAACATAGGCGTCCAACAACCGTTATAAAGGCGGCTTTCGATTCTGTCGACCGAGAGGTACTCTGGCGATGTTTGGCTGCACTCTAATCGGACTCATGCAGCCAGCCAGGTGACAGCCTACGCAGAGTTGTCATCTAAATTGGTGACAACTACTAGCGTCCGTTAGGGATGTCTACAGCCCCCATTTCTGTTTAATTTCACCAAAGATGTACAATGAACTTAACCCCCAAATGACTTCAGCAACTCAGTGATTGATTGACTTGTTACCAAGGGATAATCTCGTTGACTTAGAATATGCAGATGATATAGTCCTCCCCCTTAGGTGAAGATGCTGACAAAATGCAGAGTCTTCTGAACACCTTGAGCTGCAATCTGCGAATATTTGGCATACGATTAACTCCCGCCAAATGTAAGATGATACTACAGGACTGGACTACATTGACTCACTACTAGCTTAAACATAAGCAGGAGTGAAGTGGTTGGTGGGAAGTTGCATCAGCCAGTCCAACGCGTTGATCGCTGACGAATTCTCAGCACGGATACAGAAGGCTAGTTTCGTATATGCCAGTTTACACCGTCTCTGGCTTAGATGTGATACTGGCTGGCTGGCTGTCAACCAAATGACGTGTGTACTGCTCAGCAGGTAGCTTCATATTCCTTTCTGGCTGTGAATGAGACCTGGCCATTGAAAGTAGAAGACATGACATAGCGTCAGGCTGGAAAAGAGGTAGTGGTGGTCAAACCAAGAGTTAGTTTCAGCCACGTAGGAAGATGTAGACTTCCTGGTCGGGGTCCTCTGGAGGATAAAAACCAATGAAGGCTGGAGACAGTTGGTGATATGGCTCAAAGTGATCGTTCTCAATGGCTGGCTGGTGCAGATGCATCCACTCCTTGTGACTTATAATTTCCAATGAAACTATTGAAGCCGTATGTTTCACTCGGAACCCAGCAGAATAATGATAAATAATAATGACATATTGTGTGAAAGGCAACGATACTAATAAGCTGTCGAATCCTAATTAGGTGGAGAGGAGGTTGAACCCATGGACCCAGGGGTCAGAAGCCGAGATCTTAAACCAATGAGTCACATGTCTTCACGACGACAATTAACACAACAGGGATGTAACCACTTCTGATAGGAAATGTCAAAAACACAACAGACATTATAGATTTCCTAACACTACTACTACATTACAATAACTAAGTGATTAACATGCGAATATTACATAATCAAGAGACATAATTACAATTTAACATTCACATACCTTCAATTCATCCCGAGTAAGTATTCCAGACTTTGTATTCGACTTTTTATCAATAAAATTATACAAATGATTATTATTGCTGTACATTGATGAGTTGACTAGTGTTTGACTAGTTAAAGCCAACTTAGCTGCTTGCCGTTGAAATATTCTCTCTTCCATACCACCAGCTGTGACCAGGCGGTATAATCGAACTGGTCTCAATTGACCCGGACGCCAAATTCGAGCCATTGCCTAAAAAAAATCAAGTTTAAATAAGGTGGAGTGGAGGGGATGGGGAAATCAATTTTACGTTGATCAATTCATTATAAACAATTATCCAATAAAATGAGAACGAAAGCTTCACAATTAAATGAACCGGGTCCAAGAATACAGACAAACCGAAATCATTCACCTGAACTAAAAGAAAATCGGCAAAGTGAAACTTTAAGCGCCACTAACTACTAGTTAGCGAATAACCTCGAAAGCACCAACCTCGTGAAAGAGGCATTTTTGTGTATGGAGTACATATATTTATGCATAAAAACTGTAGAAAAGCGTTACAGAGGATGCCTTCCGCGCACATGTGATAAAAATAGCTCTCAGTCTTAGGTTGGAGTATATCAACAGAGTATAATTCTATTATGAGTAAAATTTATTTTGATAAAGTTTCATAGTGTAATGCAGTAATATTTACTGAGCAATAAATTGTACTCGAAACGTCATCAGTAAATATTGCTACTGTATAACACTGTATGACTTTATCAAAATAAACTTTACCCACAATCGAATTATACTCTACCGCCATGGTGCACAAGTTCTATTCTCTTATATCAACAGAGTAATTTAACCACATTCTATGCATGTAATTATGTAGGTCTTCTAAACCTAACAACTAACTGTAATCTAACCCGAACCAACCCTAATGTCTCCTTTATTAGGTTAACCTAACCCTAACTTGTCCTTGGCTTAAACCTAATCTGAAACTTGCTAGATATCCCATTTAATAGCATAACACTTCGATGAGCATATTTTATTGATGATGACAACATTATTTATTTGCCTGATTTCACTAACTTGCACAGCGGGAGTTTCAAGGTCACCGATGCGGTCGCACTTCATTGGTAGTTAGTGGTGCTGAAATTCTAACTTCGCCAAAAAATCTATATTATTTCATCTATAAAACACAAAATAATTATGGAGCAAAGAATATCCTTTTCGATAAATTCCTCTTCTGGCTCTACAATTATATGTTTATATACATAGAATATTCTAGAATAGTAGGCCTTATTCTTACAAATGCAGTTCCTTGGGGACAACATCAGTGAGATACTAACACAGTGCCTTAGAAATGCGGTAAAAGGAGCATTCCCTGCTTCTAAATTACGCTGTGTCTTCAAAACCACTCCTCTTTTGCGTTCAGGAGTAAAAGACAAACTGCCTAATTTCGCCTCTTCCATGTGTATCTACCAATTTCACTGCTCCTGTGGAGCCAGTTAGTCGCACAGGCCCTACAATCAGGCGTGTTTCTCGTTGAATTTCCGAACATCACCTCGTGTGGTTAAGTAAAGGACAAATTCTCATCTTGTGGATACAGAACACAAGATTAACGATAACCAGGCTTTCAGAGTCATTTACCACATACCGACGAATCTCAATTTTGCCTTAAGAGTTCGACTACTAAATATTGCTGAGGCTGTTGGGATCCAGATTAAGAAGCCTAATTTGTGTGTCCAAAAGAAGTTAGTTCAGACATTGTCCTTACCTTGGCCACCTAGGTTTGAATGATCCCCAATTTTTGTGGGTTTCCCTAATTTTAGTTGATATTCTATTCGCTACTATATTATTATTATAATTTATACATCTTTAATGAACTGTGGTAATTCCACTGTGATGTTACTTAACACATCGATATTATTTAAAAAAAACACCAACATTGTTATTGACTACTATTCTAGAATATTCCATGTATAAAGAAGTGCATATATAATTGTAGAGCCAGTAGAGGAATTTATCGAAAAGGATATTCTTTGCTCCATAATTATTTTGTGTTTTATAGATGTCTGAATGAATATTTTCACTCTATTATTTCAAGTGAAGAATCAATAACCTTCATTAACAATTCAGCTTCTGTAGACCACTACTATTGAAAAACATTCTTGTTTCTCAATTATATCTTTGATATATTGTGGCGTTTTTAATTTCAATTTTATTATCAGATTTTGTGTTACGAACTAAGATTAATTATTAGAGAGATGATTGAAAACCAGAGAGTACTGGACAGTTGTTTCTTATCTATATACCAACCTCGAGCTTCATTGTCGGCCAGTAGACGAATGTCCTGAAGCTGTATTCAAATGTCGTGACCAAATGAGGTACACTATATCAAGGCGAAGTGGATGTCCACAGAAGGCAATGATTGAGGTTAGCGTTATATCACGACTTGAAAAAGTCTCGCTGATTGGTTTCAACATAAAACTTTGCACACAAGTGTACTAGAGTGGCGCATGTTGATCAGTAGATATGGTGGTGGACATTAAGGTGAATCGCCCCATTCTGCAGGAACAGCAATATGCAATTTGATGGCTCGAGATTTCTATGAGGGCTTGAATCTTTATCTTGAATAAGATAATAATGATCGCCTAGACAGATCATGCTTCTACCTTTAAACATATACCATTCTCTCAGCCTATTGTTGAGATGCGACCACGTGGGCTCTGCATAGATTTATAGGGCATCTTATAAATTAACATGCTTTCCTTTGCCGTATCTTCGAATATCACTTCACAATGTCTCATCTCATTCATTTTCTAAAAACGTCTTCACTTGCTCATTATATTCCACTAAACCTAACATTTTACAGCTCTTTATGAATTTGATTCGACTTATTTTATTCCTATTCTCTATAGGGTGCGGTTGTGCACCAAATACACGAAAAGGTATGAAATAAAAACAACCGGCTTGTGGATAATTGTATTAAAACCAAAAGTGGACATCATGATAGTAAGACCTATATGGGTAGCATTATACATTGCAAATGAACTTTGTCAGCCTAGGGATTATAGTCTCCCATTGTATTTCCTTTATGAATGCATCTATTAATGATAAATTGCACTTACCTGTCTCATTACAATTTAATGATTCACCTCAGCACTTTAATTTTTCTAAAACAGCTTACTATCCCTTGTAAACGTTGTACTTACCTCAATATTGGTTGGTTATCGTATGCCTACAACTACGGGTTGAAAACGAAACGAAGTCGATTTTCTCGCGCAACCTGGAGGACTACTGTTCAATTCAATAATGATACGACATGGGTCAGACAATGAGTGTATATATATATATATATCAAATATTTAGCTGTTCAAACATTATTAACTTGTAGACAATTAACTATTTGACATTATATCATACTTGATCGTGCCTGCAAAAATGGCATGCATTTTCATGTAAATTTATGTTTATGTGAAAATATACATTATTATTATACTCCGTTTACCACAACAAAGGAAAAAACAGATTCAAAATAACGATAGTAGGCAGAAATATGAGGATATCGTACATCACAAAGAGTGAATGCATCTGCTCCAGTCATCGACAACGATTTTCAGTTATATCACCGATTGTCTCCAGCCTTCATTGGTGTCTACCGACACGAGGACCCCAACCAGTCAGTCAGACAGTCTACACCTTCCTACGTGGCTGACTTAAACTAACTGTTGTGGCTTTCATTGACTGATGAAGCCATGTTTTGGTTTGACCACCATTGGCTCTTTTCAATTCCAACCTGACCCTCTGTCAGTCAGCTAAGGTTGCCCGTCTAGGAAGGCGATGGCTATTGGTGCATGCGTAACACATATCATAACCATCTCAATCGATGCAACTTGACAACCCCACCGATTGATTCCCACTCCTTATCTAGCACTCGGTGCCTACCCTCAATATTGCTCATTCTGTTATACCACTTCATACGGCGGCAAGAACCCTATGTGACAGTGAAACAGCGACACTTGGTAAGCTTCTCATAATTTTTCTGTCAAGCACCTTATCACAGCAGACATATGAATAAATTTTTCTAATAAAATATTCAAACAGGGAATTAAATTTACTTGTGCATCATTTGCTGGATTCCAATCCATATCGAATAAAATCAAGTAATTTGCCCCGATCAAATTAAGACCTGTTCCACCAGCACGTGAACTAAGCAACAATATACCTGGAAAAGGTAAAAAGGAAATAAAAAGGTTTCAGCTGTGACAATGTAAAATTATGCATACATCATTATTTTTCCTGAGATACCTAGTGGGAATATCGGGCTTCAACAGAACATCCCCGGCTCACTCTATTCCTTGTAGTCCTTTTATAGCTGGCTTCCCAACTGACCATAAACTTCCATCATGTTTCAAATGATCTCCTTCATGCTAATCCTGAAACCAAATGCAACTCGTCGTTTCCTGTTTGAGTTTTACACGATTGTCTGTGTGATGCCTGATGTCTCTTAACAGTCCACCTTAGCACATATTCAATCCTCTTGTATATTTGTTGTACAATACGTTCAATGGTTGGTTCGCTATGCAGCAGAGTTCCTTGTTCTTTACACTTTCTAGCTGGGCATTTGATCTTCAGTGTCGAACGCCTGCAGTTGTTGATGAAAGTCTGTAGTTTTTTGGGGGGGAAGATGCCTTTTGCACCGCGTCAACCTCTTTGAACCATATAGAAGCACTATCATGAAATTAGTAATGAAAATTCTGATCTTGTCCAATTTGAGGAGTGTTATTGATCTCCGCAGTGACTAAAGAATGATGAACACGTCTTACTTTTCTAAACCTGGCTGGCTTTGACATTCTCACTGACTGACTGACTGGTTTCAAAGTAGAACTTCACAAACATGTGCAGCAGTTCAACTTGCAACACTCTACTCCATGTACCACACAAAGCAAGAGAAGAGGGTAAAGAGAGATTCAAAATAGAGAGAGATAATAAATAGAAATGTAAGTTAGGTAAAAAGAGTAGTAATATGGAAGAACAACAGAGTTTTTTTTGGATATGACTGGCTAATCACAAAGAGTGAATGCACCTCAGCCAGCCATTGACAGAGAGGATTTTGAGTCAAACCACCAATTGTTTCAAGCAATCATTGCTTTTTACCATCCAGAAGACCCCAACCAGTCATTTATTCAGGCAGTCTACATCTTCCTACGTGGCTATCTGGCTGGCTTGAACTAATTGTTGTGGGTTTCAATGATTGATGAAGACATGTTTTGGTTAGACCACCACTATCTCCCTCTTTTCCTACCTGATCCTACTCACCTAACATTTCTCGTTGAGGAACGCCGTGGCTAGGCATGCGTAACACACGTCCTAGTCATTTGAATCGGTGTAACTTCACAATCTGGTCGATTGATTTCTCCTCATTATCTCATTCCTACGCGTAGCTGGAACACTGATATCAAGCCAGGTAAGAGGAAGAAATGATTCCCTTGTTGCTGTTGGTTACGTAGCTTTCTGCTTTCTCTACATACACCTCAATTTCTATCTTCCCTGCCTCTTACATCAACTTATCGGTTTTTAGTTGCAAAACTTGCAAAAGTTCGTAAGACACGATACGCAAATCCTCCACAGAATCTACATCTTCTGGGGTTTATTTTTGTCAGTTCAACAAATGACCATCATTTAAATCCCTACCATGAACGGTTTGTTGCACGATCCAGTTCACCACTGTCTGTCTGTCTGTCTGTTTTCGACATAGAACTTTCCACCGATGTGCAGCAGTTCAAGTCGCCACACTCCATGTAGCACACAAAGAAAGAGAAGAAAGTAGGAGAAATGCATATTAGAGACAGTAAACAGAGGTGTGAGGCAAAGGAATAGTAATAACGAAGAACGATATATTTTCATTGGAAATCATAAGTCACACGGAGTGGATGCATCTGCGCCATTGAGATTAATTTTGAGCCATATCACCAATTGTTTCCAACCATTGCTTTTTACTGTCTCGAGGACCCCAACCAGTCAGGAAGTCTACATATCCCTAAGTGGCTTAAACTAACTGTTGTGGATGTCATTCACCGACGAAGCCACGTTTTGCTTTGACCGCCACTAGCTCTTTTCCAGCCTGACCCTATGTTAGCTACCATTGCCCGTCGAGGAAAGCGATGACTAGGCATACGTCGTAACCATCTCAGTCGATGTAATTTCACAGCCTCGTGTATTGATTTCCCCTCCCACCTACCTAGCACTCGACGCCTAACCTCAATACTGTTCACCTTATTATACCACTTCACACGGTATATAGAACGCAGGTACCTATGATCAAAGACAACTAGCCAGGATTTTCATGTTTTCCACTCTCAATGGCCAGGTCTCACAGCCAGCCATAAAGGAGGACGGAACGGACTGCTGAGCAGTACACCCGCCCTTTGGTCCACCACAATCAGGAATAGCATTTGTCATGGTAGGCAGTCTTGTCTTACTCCTATGTCTTCACTTCAAATCTTTTACTGAGTGAATCACTTGGCATATAGCATCATCATATAGCTGTTGAATAAGGTTAATAAAGATTTGGGTCAGTTTATAATGTTGAAACATCAGCCAAATAACTTCGTGGTCGATACTGCCAAAGACCTTTATTAGGAAATGAAAGTTGATATAATAGTTAATACAATGTAGCAGGATTGTTGATATTACGCAGTTGGAGGCAATCGGCCACAGGAAGCCCTACCAGGCCTCAGTTTCGTGTTAGTTAGCACTCACCAGTCAGTCCGCTTCGTCCTTCTCTATGGCTCTGAAACATGGCCAATACGAGTTGAAGACATGAAAAGGTTGACTGTTTTTGATCATAGATGTCTACGATCTCTTTCTCACGTTAGGTGGTATAATAAGGTAAGTAATGTTGACGTTAGGCGTAGAGTGTTGGGCAAACAGGGAAAATCAATCGAAGAGGCTATGAAGTTACATAGATTGAGATGGCTAGATGACGTGCTGCGCATGCCTAGCCATCGCCTCCCCCGACGGACGGGCATTACTAGCTGATATAGGTGCAAGTTGGAAAAGAGTAAGTGGTGGCCAAACAAAAACATGGCCTCATCAATCCATGAAATCCTTGACAGTTAAACTAAGTCAGGTAGGGGGGGGAGATGCAAACTTCCGGGTTGGGGCCCGCCCTCGGGACTCTAAGAATCAATGGCTGGAGACAATAGGTGACATGGCTCAAAATCCTCGTTGTCAATGGCTTACGCAGATGTATTCAGTCTCTGTAATCTTTCATATTCCTTTCTACCATTACTCATTCTGTTTCACTCTTATACTTGTCTAAATTCTACTGATTCTCTTCATTCATCTTCTTGTCTACCTTTGTGTGCTATTTGGAACGTGGCAACTCGAACTGCTGCACTTCAGTGCCAAGTTCTATGTTGAATCCAGCCAACCACCAGTCAGTCAGCAAGGCGTATCTGCAACCTTGAAGGAAAACTCATGTTCCCCCTCTGAAATTCGAACCCTTGTCACCCAATGTCACTGAGCAACCGACAAAAAGGATTAGACACATGACACTAGTTACTTACTAATTAGTGTTCAATCAAAATAAGTACAACGTTAAAGGATATCACGCGCCGCCAAGCAGGCCCTCAAGTGAAATCCTACTAAGAAACGACAAGTTGGGAATGAATCCAAGGATGTCATGGAATAGATCATGCGAGGAGAAAATGAAAGTTTATGGACAGTCATGCAACCAGCTAAAAAGCACCCTAAAGAACAGGATAAAATGAAGATATCCTGTTGTAGCCTCGTGTTTCACTCGGAACCCATGAGTTCCACTATCAACCCTCCTCTTAAGGATAAGAGAAAGATAGAAAAACTTACTATCTCACTTACAATCATTCGATTTAGGATCATTAATTCTTTGAACTATTTCATTGCGTTGTTTATTTGTTGTCTGACCATCCAGGCGTAAACATGATTGTCCAGTGACCAGATTACACAACTTTTCTAGTAGATCAAGTGTCTAGCAAACAAAATAGAAACGCGAAAAGGAGTATTGTTAATATAAGATGAAAAAAATATGAACAATATGAGCGGTAATATAATTTGTTGCTCGAAACGTGGTCATCAGTTAATATTACTGTACTGTATAACACAACACTGTGTGACACTTTATCAAAATAAAATCTTATCCATAATGGAGTTACATGCTGTACCACCACCACAGTGCCCAAGTTTTATACTTATATCAAGAATATAATAAGCATAATAGAAAAGTTTATTTGACAGAATGTAGAATGATACACAGTTAACAACTGGATGGATGACTTCCAGACTGAATCACTGGTCATTAATTCACCGCTATGCGGTGGGGATGATACAACACATGTCCCAGATATGTGAAAAAACATATCTTTTTTAAAACACTATATGAAACAAGCTAAGAAGTCGTTGTTCACTGCCTTCACGTGGCTGGGGTGTTCCTCACAAAAGTGAAACGGAGAATGTGAACATTTGGAGCCTATAAGCGGACTTGGTGGACATCCATTTCTTCATAGGGAATAAAAAGACGGTTGCAGCGAAGAAAATTTTCTTTTCGACGAAGTCATCATCTAGGCTGTACATTCGTGTATTTATATCAAATGGATGGGAAAGTTCCAGAATAATTTCTCGTTAGGGGTTAAATTAATAAAAATTACAATTAGGAATTAGAATGCCATAATAAACAGGGGGATGGGTAAAACTCAAACAAAGTAGCATAATAACTAAGAAAATTGACATTGTGCAATTAGGGGTTAGAAATGTAAAAATAACAAAATATACAGGATGTTTGGATAAGAAACTAGTGTGATGAATAATTGCTCATGCAATCAGGGATTAAATATGTAGAAATAATAAAATGACAAAATAAACAGGAAGTGTGGATATGAAAATATGGTAGTGTAGACAGGGATTAAGAAAACTTAAAATAACATGAATAAACAGGAAGTTTAGATAAGAAAGGCAATGGGATGATCATTACTAAAAGAATTACCTGTTTATGATGGCCACGGCAGGGACAAGGGTTGGACGTATTTCTTTAGGATACATAGCGTTGGTTTGAGCTTTTGGATACCTAGTGCCTCGGCTATACCCAAATGTCTTGATTTCACTCCCTTTGATAGGTTTGATTGAATCTTGTATATTACTTTGAAGGACTTTTCGAAAGGCGCTGAATGTCCTGAGTTGACCAAATGTTCTGTCACTGAACTGTATACACGTTTTTGGTCTCCTTTTACCAGCCAGGCTGGGTAGTGTTCACGAGTGCGTTTTTCAAATCGGCGCATGGTACGGCTGATGTACTCAGCTCCACAAGAGCAAGTAAACTGGTATATGCAAGTTTAGGTGGCCCAATGCAAACAGCTTGCCTTTCGCGTTCTGGCTGAACAGTTTCTTGCAGGAAAACGTTAGTTGTAGGCTTGCGGCGAAGTATGTTTTCCTCAGCGATTTGGAGAGGCGTTTATGAAGGATTTCTGCTTCAATATCACCTTTGAATTCTAGATTAAGCAGAAGTATTTTCTTTGGAACGGATTGGACTTGTTCGGAAGTCTTCTAAGGCTTGAGATGCTTGTCTATGAACCTGGGCGGAAAACAGTTTTCCACCAGGCTTCTTCGGAGATTACGTAGTTCTTCTTTAATCACGTCCTCGCTGCATACCTTCCGAATCCTCGAGGAAAGAGCGCATATCAGGTTCCTCTTTCTGCTTAGCGGCACGAAGCTTTGAAAGTTGATGAATTGTCCAGTCCATGTAGGCTTTTTGTATATGGACCTTTTCAAATAGTTGTTGTCATTTCTTGTCAGATGGACGTTCAGGAAGTGGAGCATTCCGTCGGATTCGGTCTCAAGTGTAAAGTCGATGTTTGGGTGGGCGTTGTTGAAGATTTGAAGTAAGTTTTCAAGGTCCAGCTTCTCATCACAAATGATGAAAGTATCATCAATGTATCTCTTGTAGAGATGAAGGTCGTCGATAGTTGATGATAAGGGGTTGTTTTCGAGGCTGGCCATAAAACAGTAGGCCAGGAGGGGTCCGAGTGGAGAGCCCATTGCTACGCCATCTGTTTGCCTGCAGATTTCATTGTTGAATCCGAAGTAGACGTTGAAGGTGCAACATCCATTTCCACCTAAAGGGGATAGGAAACCCGTATGTCAAACTCATGGTGTTTACATGGACTCCAGAATCCGATCTGATCAAATGACGTAAAAAATTGTTTTGGTCATCGTTAGCCATGGGACTGACTAACTGGTTGGTTTCAAAGTAGAAATTTGAACTGATGTGCAGCAGTTCCAGTCGCCACACTCCCTTCATTTTGCACAAGAGAAGAGAGTAAAGATAGGTTTAAAATAGAGAGACATAATGAACAGAAATAAATGTCAAAAAGATTAGTAACAGAGAATAACAATAGAATTTTATTGGGTATGATAAATCACAAAGAGTCAATGCATCTGCACCAATCAATGACAATGACCATTTTGAGCCATATCACCAATTGTCTCCAGTCACCTGTTTTTTACCAACCTGAGGACCCTAACCGGGAAGCCAATCTACACCTTCCTACGTATCTGGCCTAAACTATGGATTCCATTGACTGATGAAACCATGTTTTCGTTTGACTGTCACTAGCTCTCTCTTTTTCAACCTAATCAATCCTATGTCAGTCAGTTAACATTGGTCATCGAGGATGACTAGGCTTGTGTAATACACATCCTAACCACCTCAATTGATGTAGCTGCTTCCCAATGTCGTCGATTGACTTCCCCTCCTCACCTAACCAATACTCGACGCCTAACCTTAACATTGCTCATCCTATTACACCCACCACAACACGGGAGATAGAATGCAGACACCTATGATCAAAGACAGTTAACCAGGCTTTTCATGTCTTCCACTTCCAATGGCCATGTCTCACTCACAGCTGCAAAGGACGACGGAGTGAACTGATGAGCAGTACACATGCGCTTTGATCGACAGCCAGACAACTGGATATCACATCTACTAAGCCCAAAGGTGGTGTAAGTTGGCAGGCGAATGCCAAACGAGCCTTCTGCATCCGTGCTGAGGTTTCGTCAGCTGCCGAACCTGTGGGCTGGTTGATGCAACTTAGCAAATAAGTGAAGTGGTCAATATACTCCACCAACGACTTCACCCTTGCCTATCTTTAAGTTGGGAGTGAGTCAATGTAGTTCAGTCGTGCACGTTAATGGTTCAATCAGAGGAATTCTCACCAACCTCCACACAAGTGCTCCAGATTCGATTCCTGGTCGAAGTATACTTAAACCTCACCTAGCCCGTTGTAAATCGGGATAAAAAAAGAGAGGACTGGAGGTGAGGCTAACAACCTCACCTCTTAAAGCTAGACAATACCATGGTAGCTATTGGAACATCAAAAACTCTACCCTGAAGCTCTGTGTTCTAATCGGAATGCAAGGAAATAAAAAATAAAAATATGAAACAACACTAACTTGTGTAAAATTAGAGACTAAAATAAGACGATCCTTCGTAGGTACATTATTTGTGGCAGTATTATTCATTGCTTTGTGCAGACGCGGTCGTTTCTGAAGTTTTACGTTACTCTGTATACCAGAAGATGTTGCCGACGACAACAACGACGACCCTGATGATGAGTGTTTACTGAATAAACGTTTTAACATGAAATACAGTGTGTTAAATTTTCCTGACAATTGGATAAATTCATTCGAATTCTTTTGATGAATATCTTCATTAACTGAATTGGAGGTATTTAACAATTGTAGTAAATCTTCTGTCAACTTCGACGGTAACTATATATTGATTGATTGGTTAAAAAAGAAGGGAGTATGAAAAAACACAATCACTAGCTGTAATGAGTAGAATACAAGCAAGAATAAAATTATCAAGTATTGGTTTTGTAGGGATTTTGTTTGATTGCATGGAAGATTTCATCATGAGCTGACATCAGTTAGAAAACCACTGGAAAACCTGGGAGTACTGGACAGCTGTTTCGTCCCAGTTTGGGACTCTTTATCAGTACGCACCCATCGGGATTCGAACCCAGTACCTTCTGCTCACTAGTGACTGGTTCTATTCAAGCAGTTAACCTAGGGTTCTAGTGGGAAGCCGTGACCAGTAGGGTACAGCAGGTTGAAGATGAGGCAGTAACTCATCGAAGAAGACATTGCGAAATGGTCGCTCTATGTGGTGAATTGGCAGAAGTTAGAATTAAAGGACCATTGGATCGGGTCACAGTGGCTCAATGGTCTACGAGCCTGCCTTGTTACCAGAAAGTGCTGGATTCGAATCCCTGTGGGTGCGTACTGTTGAAGAATCCCAAACTAGGACGAAACAGCTGTCCAGTACTCCCGGCATGTTTTCCAGTGGTTCTCTAACTGATGTCAGCTCATGATGAAATCCTCCATGCAATAAAATATCGTATATTAATTAATTAATGTGTTTATAGGATGGGAAATTCCCATTGTAACATAGAGAAAATCAAAACAAGTGGTGATTCAGTGAAGAGACTCTTTTCAACAACGGATTTATTAAAACAATTAGTCCCTTTGATAAATTTGAATAAGGCATTTAGAAGACAAATTTCACGAGATGATATCATTTCGTAGTTTCTTTACAACTGCTTTACAACTAACATGGTTAACAATAATAAAATAAAGCTCATGACAATTACTCAGTTATATGAAGAACAAAAGTACATATTAATGATCAATCATATTTTAATAGATCAAGTAGTCAGTCCATGGTAGACAAAGGTCGAAGCCGATTGTTTTTGTACACACAGTTTAGGCTGTATGTGATTAATCCCCAAAGTGCTTCCATCACCTTCAATAACCTTGAAATAGAGTTATGTGATGAAATAATTGTGAAACAGTCATTAATATTGATTTTGTGACTTGACATTAATAAGTGTTTTGCAATGGGTGATGTTGGATTCCTATTCAGATTAATCGCATTGGGATTTTCTATATATGTTTCAATAACCATTTTGGATTTATTATCAAGCTGTACAATCGTATCTATAGATATGGTTTTCTTTAAGAAGTTATATCCGGTGAGGGAATTGAAACATAGGTGTGAATGCATAAAATAATAATAATAATAATAATATGAAATGCAATTAAAACCAAAATGTTTGTGATTATAATCATAGTTAAATGTCAAGTGGCAAAACAAATTAATGTCATATACATAGAATAATTCAAAAAATGGATGTATATATGTTGTAAGTGGTGTGCAATACTGTACATGAGCTTGGAATTCAAAGGTGACTCAGGTTCCGATATCATGAGAAGAAGGATATCACAGTCTCTGAAAGAAACATTTCACTGCTGCTTCTTTGAGAATAGCCTTTACCAGTCGACCATTACTATCCAGTAACCTGAAGGACAAGATCCCGCAGTTGACCAACTAACTCTATGTGCGATTATCAATTCACCTGCTCGTGTGGAGAGGGTGCAAAAACACTATCCTGCATGATTGTTACGAAGAGGTGGAAGTGGAGCAATCAGAAGCGTGATCATTGAACATCGGGTTGATAATGATCACCCAATGATCTCTATAGCCCCCACCTTTAAAGTCATCTCCAAGGCGAAAAGTAATTCACCCAGATAGCTACGTTCTCGACTCATCTGTATTGCTGAAGTTTTGGCTATCAAAACAGAAAAGCCAGATCTCTGTGTACAGAAAAAGTTCATTCTATCCCTCCAACTTTCATGGTCTTAATCCCTCTATGCTAAAGTATGGTAATTCCCAATCATATTTTGGCTCTACCAATTTTTATTTCGTTTTGTTTATTCCATTTGTACACTCTTCCTTTATTATGTCAATTGTTACTATTATTACCATTCTCACTTTTAATTGTCCCCGGTATTATTTCACTCGTTCCACTTGTCATTCTAAATCAATTTTGTTTTCCAACGTTAAATTCTATGTTATCAAATTTTACACAATATTACGTAACGTAATTGCACATGACTTCCAAGATCTATCCATCCTATGAATTATTCTACATATGACCCGACCGAAAGCTGCTACCATGACGTGGTGGTCGGGCTTGAACACCGCAATGACCCAACAAGCTCTACTGGCTGAGACTTATGTCGTTTGAGGTCCTACCATGCCAGAAAGGTTGTTTGGATAGCGGTTAGACAAAATGCAGTTACCCAATCCAATGCTATGATCCAAACAAAATCACAAAATATCATGCCTGATCGGATTAACAACGACCGCGCTTCCTGCTGCCGTGTCACATGGCAGAAGTGATAAATATGCTACTGAGACACACCAAATGAAAAAGAACAAACAAAAACAGGCCGCGTGTGACCGGCCTCAAGCAGTTGTCCCTTGAGCTCTGCGGTCACGCAATTAACTTCCACGGTGTGGGCAGCCGGGAAGTAACAATTACCCTAACAATCCGAAACGCACACGAAACCTCTCTAATCCTCACTATATATGACAATAATTGCTTTGCCAATTGATACTTAACTATGATTATAATCACAAACATTTCAATTTTAATTGCATTCCATACTACTATTATTATTGTATGCATTCACACCTATGATTCAATTCCCTCACCGGATATAATTTCTTATCAGTACCAAATGTATACGTTTGTACAGCTTGATAATAAATTCATCGTTGAAAAGAGTCTCTTCGCTGAATTATCACTTGTTTTGATTTTCTATATAGGATATATCACACCTACACTGAAACAGTATTATTTTCACTAAACACTAGGAAGTAGTAACCGATGTCATGAGTCTAGTTCTTCGTTTTTGGTGCAAATTGAATTCTATCGGCACCAAACAAAGGATGACACTGATGACATTATTTTTTTTCCTTCACGTTCCCCAGTGGAACATAGGGCTTCAAGCTTGTGGCTTGAAGTTTCTGTAGCAGTATTTATTTTTACAGGATGAGGTTGCTAGCCTCATGCCCAACCTTCCCTCTTCACCAGCATTATATCTGGCTTAGCGAGGTAAAGGAGTGCGTCGGCCGGGGATCGAACCCCGGACCATGTGCATGGTCGGCGCACGTCCTAACCGCTATGCCACCGACGCAGATGACATTATTACACTATTATTATTATTATTATCATTATTATTCCCTTAGGTTCCGAATGTAAAATAGGGCTTCAACAGTACATCTTCCTTTCGTCCCTCTCTCTGTAGTCCTCTTCACCTGACCCCACTGTTGTCTATGAGCTTTCGGCCCCTCCATGTCACCCGTGGAAGCCCATTGAAGATCCATTATAGGGCGATATCACCTGACGGCCTCCTGTGCATGTCACCGATTCATCTCCATTTTCTTCGGAATATCTGTTGAACAATAGGATCATGGTTTGCTCGTTTCCTGAGTCCCTTGTTGGTAATCCTTTCTTGCAGACTATCTGATCTTCATTATGGAATGAAGGCAGCTGTTGATAATGGTTTGCAGTTTGTTAGAAATGATTTTCGTGAAGCACCCAGTTTCTGAACTTTGTAGAAGAATTGACTAATCAAAGTATCCACTACAGTCCAACAGGAGGTCAATCGCGAGCCAACCCTAACAGCTCAGTGGCAATGTCTCTGACTGTAACATTCACTGGGTGATGCGGGTTTGAATCTCAGACGAGACATGAGATCCTTCAAGGTTGCAGATACGCCTTGCTGACTGACTGGTGAGTGCCAGGTAGCAAGACTCCCTGTCGATTGCCTCCAGCCATCTAATACCAACAAGTCACAAGCTAGAATGAAATAACTGTTCAGCACCCCTACCCACTCAGGTTTTCAGCAACCTCTCTAACTAATGTTGATCCATGACAAAAATCTAATAATTTAATAATTCCCACTGTAGCATTAAGAACACAATATTCAGCGAAGAGACTCGTTGCAACAACGAATTTATTATCAAGCTGTACAATCGTATATATATGGTTGTTTTTAAGAAATTATATCCGGTGAGGGAATTAGATCAAAGGTGTGAATACATAAAATAGTGATTATAATGTAGAGGGATAGACATTCATTTATTTTATTTTGTTTATTTAGTTATCCTATGTATCTCCCTTATTACTACGATTATTATTATTATTATCATTATTATTATTACTATTCTCACTCTGAATTGTTTCCGCTTGTCCCACTTGTCATTCTAAATCCAAAATTGTTATTTCTTTTGTTTTTATAATATTGAATTCTATCTTATCAAATTTCACACCATGTTATGTAACACTCTATATTCGCCTACTAATCCTGTAATTATGCGAACCCCTCCCACCAACATCTATATGTATTATTCTATATATGACATTACTTGTTCTGTACTTGACATTTAACTATGATTATAATCACAAATATTTTAATTGCATTTCATACTACTGTTATTACTTCATCTATTCACACCCATGATTCAATTCTCTCACCGGATATCATTTCTTAAAAAACCATATATATAAGATTTTATAGCTTGGTAATAAATTCATCGTTGAAAAGAGTCTCTTCGCCAAAAATCTAATAATTGAGGTTATTCAATATTTTTTTAAAAAGAGACAACAGTAAGCACAATGTGAGCAACTTACCCGATTATCTGTAAAATTTTTTCCTGCATCAAATTGAGTTAAATATTTGCTTAACAAATATGGATGATTGTGTAGTTTACGAAAAGCTGTTATAATCGACAGAATGGTATTATGATGCTTTGATGCCGACGATGATGATGATGATGGGAAGGCGAAAACCTCTTCAATAGCTTCATCAAAATCTTCATCGCTCCCTTCAACATCTTCATCTTCTTCAAATTTACTTCGACGATTTATATTAAATTTTTTATTCATCCATTCAGTGAGAACAGATTCTAAGTCTGTTTGTAGTTTACTCGGACGACAAAATACAATATGTTCAGCTGTAGAAATAAAGTAGGATAAAGAGTAACCAATACATATTCAAAATGGAGGTGATGAAGATAACCAATCAACCACGCACCACCGACAACAGCAACCAGCAACAATCACCATCGACAGGAGATTTGGCGGAGGATACTTCCTTTGCTTATCTGGCCAGGAAGCACGGTATCGACCATAAACTACTGTGTGCAGTGCCCGTATGTTTGGCATGCGAGTCGCCCCTGTAGAATGTAAGATGATGTTGCAGGATTGGACTACACCGACTCATAGATTAGAAATAGGAAGTGAAGTGGTAGAACACGTTGACCACTTCACTTATTTGGGAAGTACCATCAGCCCAAACGGGTTGATCTCCGACGAAATCTCAGCACGAATACAGAGGGCTAGTTTCGGATATGCCAGTTTACGCCGTCTCTGGCATAGACGTGATATCCGGCCGGCTGGCTGTCGACCAAAAGGCGTGTGTACTGCTCATCAGTCCGCTCCGTCCTCCTTTATGGCTAGCTGTGAAACCTGGCCATTGAGAGTGGAAGACATGAAAAGCCTGGCTATCTGTCTTTGATCATAGGTGTCTGCGTTCTATCTCCCGTGTGAAGTGGTATAATAAGGTGAGCAATATTGACGTTAGGCGTCGAGTGCTAGGTAAGGAGGGGAAATCAGTCGACGAGACTGTGAAATTATATCGACTGAGATGGTTAGGACATGTGTTACGTATGCATCGCTAGTCATCGCCTTCCTCGACGGAAAATGTTAGCTGACTGACATAGGGTCAGGCAGCAAAAGAGCTAGCGTCGGTCAAACCAAAACATGGCACCAGTCAATGAAATCTACAACAGTTAGCCTAAGCCACTTAGGAAGGTGTAGACTTCCTGACTGGTTGGGGTCCTCGGGACGGTAAAAACCAGTGGCTGGAAACAATTGGTGACATGGCTCAAAGTGATCGTTCTCAATGGCGCAGATGCATCCACTCCTTGTGACTCATGATTTCCAATAAAACCATATTGTTCTTCGTTATTACTATTCCTTTATCTCACACCTCTGTTTACTGTCTATATTATGCATTTCTTCTACTTTCTTCTCTTGCTTTGCGTGCTACATGGATTGGAGTGTGGCGGCTTGAACTGGTGCACATCGGTGCAAAGTTCTATGTCGAAAACAGACAGACAGACATTTATTCCCCTTAGTGAATTTGAATAAAGACTCATTAACAAGTAAGGAAGATCTGAAGGCTCCAATGTAAAACAAATCACAGTGGGAAAACAGTCCATCTTCATTCAGCTTGATTTTAAAAGTGAAAATATTACAGCAACTGTCAACAGAAGACTGAGGGACATCACTAACCAGAGCCTATCCTGAGACTAATTTGCTTCCCGTCTATCGAACAACTTGCTCTTCGGTGCAGTCAAAAGTCGACAGATATCCTTTTCATGTTAACTACAACTCTACATACAAATTTACATGTATCTGCGGGAGCAGTTACATTGAAAGACCAGAAAGAAGGGCATAATCTACGATTTTCTGAACATTTACCGAAAAGTCTGTGTCTAAAGGGAACAAAGGCTTAAAATAATGCCATTGCCAGGCATCTCTCCTAGATACGGATCATGAGGTGGACGTTGCAAGATCCTTCAAAATTATCAACAGACAAAAGAGTTAAATTCTCATATAGATTTAATAAAAAGTAACCAAAACATGTTCAAAACGGAGGAGATGAAGATAACCAATCAACCACGCACCAACAGTAGCAGCAACAACAACCAGCACCAATCACCATCAACGGGAGATATTTGACAGAGGTTACTTCCTTTACTTATCTGGCCAGGAAGCACAGTATCGAACACAAGCTACTGTGTGCAGTACCCAAGTCATTATCAACCTCATTCAACAGCTGACTATATGACAATGTCGCGTGCCAGGTGATCCACAATGGGGGAACTCAGAGAGGCGTTCAAAGTGAATAGAGAAGTGAGACAAGGCTGTCTGCCTATTATCATCACGGATGATATTCTTAATTGTGGTGACCTGGATTTTGCGGCAGACTGTGTGTGTGCGGAGTGAATGTTAAGACAGGAATACGTTGGACTGACCGATAAGAAGACCCTAGAAGATCTGAATTTCGCGAATGGATGACTGATGTTCAGTGTCACACAAACTCGAAGACTTGCAGGCGAAAACCAACAAACTGGCTGAAGAAGCTGGCTGGCAGCGAAGACAGGACTCTAGGTGAACATAGGGAAGACGGAGGTGATAAAGATAATCAGCCAACCAACTGCAACAACAACCAGCACCAATCACCATCAATGGGAGATATTTGACAGAGGTTACCTCCTTCACTTATCTGGACAGAAAGCACGGTTTCAACCACAAACCAGGGGAACGGACGAAGATGTCAAGGCATCGTCAACCTGTACTCACTCAGCCAGCCAGCATAAATAACAAGATTCGGATTGTGTTCAACACAAATTTTAAGTTAGTCACTCAGTTCTCCTATACGGGTCAGAAATTTGTACTGCGTGTCACGGAAATGATTTCCAAAGAGTTACAAACTTTTATCAACAGCCGCCTCCTTCGCTTGAAAGCTCCATACTGAAGACCAAATAACCAGCCAGTCGGTCAGAAAGAATTAGCGACAAGAAATTCTACCAGACGACGAACCAACCAAGAGCTGACTGCTCAACAGTTATGTAGGGGAAAGTGGAGGTGGATCGGGCATACGTTGAGGAGGCCGTCAAATGACATCGAGCGCAATGCAGGTTATTACTCGAGTGGGTCGTCAGTGTTAGGGTGACATGGAGGAGATCGTGTGACGAGGAGAAGGAAATGAGGGATTATGGGCAATCGTGGACGGTAGAAAATAGAAGAAAGTGAAGATGTGTTGTTGAAGCCCTACGTTCCACTCGGAACCGAAGGGAATAATAATACATATTCAAAATTTGCAATTTATACAAATCACGACGTGGAATTGCATCATAGTTTCTTTTGAAAACGGAAATTATGCACACTGCAATCCGCTTAACAACAAGTTCGCTAAATTAGCCAACGAGAATCCAGGTGATAGGAGATGTCGAGACGTGATTCAAATGGCTTAAACACTCTACTTTCAGTCAATCGGTCCCGGGTTCGAGTTACACCTCCCCTCCAACCTACTTCAGCCTAAGTAGTATCATTAGCTCCCACACAGTGAATATGGCTCATAACCCAGTAATGGGCGATCGAGTAATAACTGACTAGCTAACTAACTAACTAATTAAGGAGAGTGAGGTGGGAGTGGGAGGAGAATACGTGGAATATTTGATTAAAAGATTGTGAAAAAACCTTTTTTTGTAAACAGAAAGATTGAGCGAAGAAATATTTACTTTCCAAGTATTGGTTTGTAGGGATTTGGTTGATCGGTTACAGGATTTCATCATGAGCTGACATTGGTTAGAGAACGATTGGAAAACATGCTCAGAGTACTGGACAGCTGTTTCGTCCTAGTTTAGGACTCTTCATCAGTACGCACCCACCGGGATTCGAACTCAGGACCTTCTAGTTACAAGGCGAGCTCGTATACCATTAAGCCACTGGGACCCGATCCAATGGCCCATGAATTCGAACTTTTCAATTAGATCCTCATCTCACTCTGGCTCCACTCTAATATACAACAGTTTACCAATCAAGTGACACTGATATGTTTGTTAACAATAATTAGTCAATGTCAACATGTCAAGGCGACGGGTGCTAATTAACGAAGAAAACTAATACACACACACACAATTAATGGGTAGAAATGTTTGCAACACATGGATTGCGTAATGCATGATTTTGAAAAAATGAAGAGTAATTAAGGAATAAGCGTGTGTGCAGGTTATTACGTAACAGATTGTTAAAGCAAAAAAACGATTTGGACAATGATAACTTGTAACTAAGGCTAAAGTGGTCATAGGAATAAAATAATCTGGACAATTATAATTTTTAAAGGTTTAGGGGGAGGGGAGCGAAGTAGTCCGGTTTATACAGTCATGTAACGATGGCCAAGGTAAGGCAAGTGTCTGTACAAATCTCTTCTAAACACACAAGTTTGGCTTCTTCAGGTGGATTCTTGTTGCTTCAGCTGTTGTATGTAGAAGGCGAACTCGTAGAACAAAATTAAGATTAGTCGGAATGCGATAACTAATTTTAAATGTAGTATTAACGTCAACCTTATGCTCACTATCTACAAGGTGTGCTAAAATAGAACTACGAATAGATCTTGTTTGTCCCTTGCTTAACCATGCCACAGGATGATGTTCGGAAATACGATGATGAACCTGCTTAATCGTACGCCCCCCGATGTAGCTGGCTCCGCAGCTGCAGTCAAACTGGTAGATACACATAGAAGAGGCAAATTTAGGTAGTTTATCCTTATTTCTCGAACGTAGAATAGGGGAATATATCTTCGCTACATCTTTCTGTTTTCTAAATGTCTAAATGGGGATTCTTCTTTTTCTTCTTTTTGTAAAACAATAAACAACAAAGAAAAAACTTACTTTTATTAGTCAGCTTTGGTGCAATCACATCAGATGTCCGTCTTAGAAAAAAGCTATTCATTAGACGAATCAATTTTGCTGATGGACTTTCTAAATCACTGCTATCGTCATCATCGTCGATAACAGCAGCGGCGGTAGCTGTATCATAATTCCAAAAATCATCATCACCGTCATCGGTATCATCTTCACCTGATTCATGAGTAGTAGTGGTAGTACCAGCAGAAGTAGCAGAAGGTTTTTCACTTTGTAATTTACGACTATTCAATAAAGGGATAACAAATTGACGACGAAATTCTTCCAAACTAGAGGTTAATCGGCCAGGAACACAAAAATTAGCCAATGACCATAATTCATTTAAATGATTTTGAAGTGGAGTACCCGTTAGTAGTAATCGTCTATTGGCGCGTAATTTACAAAGTGCCTATAACAAGAATAGTGTAAAGAAAAACACAAGAGGAATTACTGGAGAATATGTAGGAGCTTAAAGTTCTTAGGTTATATGTTAAAAACTTCTTTAGATAGGTGAAAGTCAAAATACAATGTAGCCTAGTTAGCTCCTTACAGGCGAAAAAAGCAAGCTGACAATAAGAATGAAGACAAGACTTCACGTTAGCATAGATGACATAGAGGAGACGGAGGTGATGAAGATAACCAACCAACCAAACCACCACCAACAACAACAACAAGCCTCAGTTATCATCGACGGGAAAACTCGAAGGAAGCTACCTCTGTTACTCATCTAAGCAGTATCTTACCAACTACAAGTTGCAAACAAAACGCTCAGACTTCACTACCCAAGTGTGGAAGTTATGCCAGACAGAGAAGTATATAGGTGGTACATAAGGAGTTCCCTGCTGACGAACCGGCAACGATGATCGTCTTAAACAGTTCTGTTCAGATAATCATGTGTTTCTAGTCAGCACTAACTTTAGGCACAACGAGAGACACTGTGTAACCTGGCGACCACCATCACAAATCAACGCAGGGCTCATATAGACCACATAGCCATAGGGTATCGTTAGCGACGGTCAGTAAAAGATTGCCACTCCTTCTGGAACACGTGCGTAGACTCTGATCATGTCCTGATTCATGCACTTCTATGCTTACGATTAAATGGACATAAAAAACTATTGGCAGCGAAGCAGTTACGCCCACAACTTGATCAAGACACTGATTCCATATTTAAGGAAGAAATAGACAAAACGAGTATCTGAGGTCGACATCAGGACTTCCCCTGAGGTAGCCTGGTACAACATACAGTTAGCTGTGGACACAGCTGTAAAAGCTGTTAATAACCTGAAACCTAAAGTTAGTAAGAGCCAGTGGATCTCTACCACCTCATCCGAACTGATTGACGCAAAAAGACTGATTCCAGCGAGCTCCGATTACGATGAGGAGCGAAAGGTACTTAAACGAAGTCCAACAAAAAGTCTTCGCAAGGACCGTGAACAGTGGTGGGCGACAAAAGCAAACGAGATGGGAAAGGCACCGGCGATTGGTAACACCAAACAACTATTTAGATTTATCAGGGAAACGGATGGTAAACGGCAAACGATAAGTGAAACAATCTCTGAGAAAAAAATGGTACCATAATTAGAACCTAGGATAGACGACAAGAACGCTGAAAAGAATACTTTGAGCAGCAGTTTAATTGGCCTACAGTCACGCTCAACCTAACGAACATCCAACACCTCCCTGAATGGGATATAGACACAGGTCCTCCGTCCCTAACTGAGGTTACTAAGGCTGCCACTAGTCTGAAACGAGGCAAAGTGGCAGGACCCGATGGAATGACTTTAGAAGTATTTAAGTACGCTGGAGACAGTTTACTGTCTGCGTTAACTAAGGTACTGGGCAGCGTTTGGGCATCAGAGACAGTTCGGTCGGGCTAGTGTAAGTCACTGATTGTCCTGATATTCATGAAGGGAAACAAGTTTTCCCGTGATAATTACAGGGGGTTAGTTTGACTAATATATGGTATCTAAGGTTCTAGGCTCAATAATAATGCGTAGACTAAGAGGTGCTCGGGAGGAACAAATACGAGAGAACCAGGCAGGCTCTAGACCAGAAAGAGGGTGTATTGATCATATCTCCGTTCACCCTTCGACAGATTCTGGAACATAGGCATACTTACCGGCGTCCAACAATCATTAAATTGGAAACATTTATTTCCCGATACGAATTTAAAACAAGCAACAAAGCATGTTAATAAGGCAGGATTTAATGAATTCATCAAGTTTCGGTAGAACTCGTCAGCTGAATACTCTACATACACGGATATATATATACTTTTGAAATTACATTGGGAGATGTAGGACTGATAAGTAAACAAACTACATTGAATTAGTCATGCAGAAAGACAGGTGCGAATGTTTTTCCAGGTCATGTTCAAATAGATAAGCAGTAGAGGGAGTATGAGAGATCAAAATTAAGACAAATTGCATTACGCTTCAATCACATCACTCAGATAAACAATTAGACATTAGAGAATATAGCAAGAATTGCAAACAGAGTGATGTCAATAGTAATAGTTATAATAACAATAATAATAATGTTGAAGTGAGTTAAGATAATCCTACTGGTAAAGGATAGTTTTAAATGAATCAAGAATAATAATAATAGTAATAATAAGAGGTAGAATTATAGGTTAAACGTATTACCATGGTAGATTCAGAGTCACGACCATCTCCTTTTATACACAGAGACCTGGTTTGTAAACTCCAATTGCACAAGCCTCTGCAATTGCAAGCATCTTGTTTCTTTGTCTGCTGACAATAGTAGCTTGTGCAATTGGAGTTTACAAACCAGGTCTCTGTGTATAAAAGGAGATGGTCGTGACTCTGAATCTACCATGGTAATACGTTTAACCTATAATTCTACCTCTTATTATTACTATTATTATTATTCTTGATTCATTTAAAACTATCCTTTACCAGTAGGATTATCTTAACTCACTTCAACATTATTATTATTGTTATTATAACTATTACTATTGACATCACTCTGTTTGCAATTCTTGCTATATTCTCTAATGTCTAATTGTTTATCTGAGTGATGTGATTGAAGCGTAATGCAATTTGTCTTAATTTTGATCTCTCATACTCCCTCTACTGCTTATCTATTTGAACATGACCTGGAAAAACATTCGCACCTGTCTTTCTGCATGACTAATTCAATGTAGTTTGTTTACTTATCAGTCCTACATCTCCCAATGTAATTTCAAAAGTATATATATATCCGTGTATGTAGAGTATTCAGCTGACGAGTTCTACCGAAACTTGATGAATTCATTAAATCCTGCTTTATTAACCTTTATTGTTTGTTTTAAATCATTATATTTCTTGACCTAAAGGCGGCATTCGATTCTGTCGACCGAGAGGTTGTCTGGCGATGCTTGGCTGTGAAGGGAATGACAAGAAAATGCATCGCACTGATCGAGGCACTCTACTCGAACTCATACAGCCAGGTGAGGGCTTACGGTGAGTTGTCATCTGAAGTAGTGACAGCTAGTGGTGCCCGTCAGGGATGCCCACTATCCCCATTCCCATTCAATTCCATCATAGATGTGCTAATGGGATTAACCCTAGCTAACTTCAGAGACTCAGGGGTTGTCTTGTTACCAGGGGATAATCTCGTTGACTAGGAATATGCAGATGATATAGTCCTCCCCTTTAGGTGAAGATGCTGACAAAATGTAGTCTTCTGAATACCTTGAGTTTCAATTTTCGAATGTTTGGTATGCATTTCGCTCTGGACTATATCGACTCATTCGTAGCTTAAAGATAGGAAGTAAAGTGGTTGGTGGAGCGTGTTGACCAGTTTACCTATTTGGGAAGTTGCATTAGGCAACGGCAGTGGGGTTTGATGGCTGACGAAGTCTCAGCACAGATACAAAAGACTCATTTGGCATTTGCCTGCCAACCTACGCCATCTCTTACTTAGTAAACGTTATATCCGGCTGTCAACGAACAAGTAGTTCTCTTTGTCCTCCTTTGAGGCTGGCTGCCAGAAATGGAAAGCCTGACTAGCTGTCTTTGATAATAGGTGTCTATGTTCTATCTCCCGTGTTAAGTGGTATAATACGGTGAGAGATAGTGAGGTTGTTCCATATTACTATTCCTTTTCCATCACTCACACTTCTGTTGATTATCTCCCTCTCTACTTTGAATCTCTCTTTGCTGTCTTCTCTTGATTTGTGTGGTACATGGAGAAAGTGGCAACTGGAACTGCTGCACATCTGTGCAAATTTCTACTTTGAAACCAGTCAGTCAGTCTAATCCTATGTCAGCTAACACTATTCGATGAGAAGGAAGACAGTTTGGCATGAATAACTCGCGTCTTGGTCATCTCAATCGACGCAGCTTTGTAAATGCATCGATTGAATTTCCCTACCCTTCCCAGGCTAGTGATCTACATTGTTACATAGGATGATATATTAATAAAGTATTGTCCCCATAAACGACCTTGTACGGTCGAGGATGGGTAAACTCCGATCTTCCTCTCGAAATGTTATCATATGACCAAGCATTCATTGTCTCTACCAAACAATTCCTATTCACTGCCTTCACACGGCTGGGGTGGTGGTTTTCACAAAAGTGGAAATGCGATTCCGAACGGTTGAAGCCTAAAACCAGACTGGGAAATCCTGATTTCAATCCTACAGTCTACATGGCCTGCAGGATCCGAATGGATTAAATAGCGTATGAACTTGTCTTGGTCACCACCAACGATCGCGACACAGCTCCCCACTTCCCCTGTAGACAAGTGATAGGACCCAGCACAAAATAGTATATCATCCTTTCTCACAAATTGTGTGATTTATCTTGTGATGGAGTTACTATGTTAATGTATCATTTCTCACCCATATTGTGATTTAGTGTGTGTGAGATCAATTCATCGTCTTTTATCTCACCTTGGTCTTTGTCGGATCCCCCAACCAATCAGAATAGACATTTCCAGCCAATAAGAACAGTCCATTCTCACGGTTGTGAGCCAACTGTATTGTGATAAATTAAATATATAAATTCATGAAAAATCCCCATTCGAACATTAATAGACAGAAGACCAATAGTTCAGTGAAGAGTCTCTTTTCGGCGGTGAATTCATTTTCATAGCTGTACCACTTCTATGTGTGTATATATCAGTTCACCTGCCGCTATGGAGCTAGGTATATTTGTCGTTCGACGCGCATCGTGTCAGAAAGGGTCAAAGAACACTATCCAGCGTGGCTGCAGAAAGGAAGTAGTGACTGTATAAGGAGTGCAATAATCGAACATCTCGTCACCACCACTGATCATTCCATCTCAAAAAACGCCTCATCCTTCAAAGTAATCTACAAAGTGAAGAACAACCTACCAAAGGCAATACGTATCCGTCTTATTTGCATTGCGGAAGCCCTAGCCATTCAGTTGGAAGAACCAG